TGCTGGTTCAAAAATCCTTTCAAAAATCCTTTTGGCTGCTGGTTCAATTCCTTATTGACAGATGCACGAGTCCAAGCCATTCGCGGGGAAGTAACTAGAGACGTGGAAGACGGAGGAGCAGGCCAAACACGAGTCTTAAGCTGGCTAGAAGAACGGATATTGCCCTATGAGGTTTTGGCTGACTACAGTATGTCCAAACATCAACAGCAGAATCCTTGTGGAAATAGTTTATTAACTACTTTCTTTCTTTTGCAGTTTATTTTGACCAATGTGATGTCTTGATAATCCCAAAGGAAAAAGGTGGCAGCATAAAAACAAGTATATATTTTCCCGAGGCTTGGGCGACACAACATGGTGATAATACCTAGCTATAGCCCGTCAGCGCCGCCATATTTTGAGTGATGACTCTCCTACAGGAACCAACAGCTGTATGCGCAAATCATGCATATAAATCAATTACTGGGGCCCTATGTATTTTAAATGCAGCCATTAATTAAGCAATGTCAGACACAATGAACCGTGAAGTTCATTACATTTTTAGCATTCAAACACAGAATTATTTGAAGAGGAGAGAGACGGGTTTACCTATAATCATTAGCTTCATAGCGCGATGTCTGAACACGCGACACGCCAGCAGAAGGATTCAGGCTGAGGCTGGAGCAACGAGGAGGCAGGGAAAACAGGCGCTGCATCAGCAATCCACAGGAACATGGGGAGCTGATCAAAAGGATGGAGACGCACAACAACATGAGGAGAAGAGCATGCTGGGAGAGCTTTGAACCTCGTGCTTTAAAGATGCGGACCAGAGTATAGTGCATGGTGTTGTTAAAACTGTAAATTACTTTTTGACGCAAATGGTGTTTTTGTTTCTTAAATCAAATCACCAATTGGATATAAAAAAGGAAAATGAATAATGGGATAGTAGATTGAGTGATATATTTGAGATATAATCTGCTAATTCAATAGACTCTATAACAGGACAATGGCATTGTTGTCCTGTGCACACAATGCAAAATCAAAATTCCAATACACCTTTTCTTAGAATCACAAAAACTTTCATATGAACTTGCGTTCACATTTTTAGGTGAAGTGAGATTGTATATTGTTTGTATTGATTGCTATGATTCTATATCACTTCTTAATCATATGAGTAAACTGTATTTTTAGACTCAAAATTATTATTTTTGTTAGTTAGGTGAAATAAAGCCAGGCCACCCTCTCGGCCTTCAAAATTGTCAATTGAAGTACAAAAAATTCTTCAGATCATTTTTTATTAGCAAATGACGTTATAAAGTTATTAAGAATTATCCAGTTTTTGTGATAATTGCCTTGACTGGAAAAAAAAAAATCTTGAAATATCACAACACTAAGAATTAAATTATTTGGAAGCATGACAAATAATAGATGGATTAATAGTTTACCCTGCAAACAGTGATAAAAAATAATGTAAAAAATGGCTCAAATTTGGAAAAGTTTATCTTAATTTGAGGACATGTTGACTGCAATGGAACAAGCAAAATTATCTTGCCTGCTGTATAGTAAAGTGCTAGGTGAGTGGTGGTATAGCAGCCGCCTGTAGTAAAGTGCTAGGTGAGCAGTGGTCTTGCAGCCGCCTGTAGTAAAGTGCTAGGTGAGCAGTGGTCTTGCAGCCGCCTGTAGTAAAGTGCTAGGTGAGCCGCCTGTAGCGTGGCTGAGTTGGTGCTGATGTGACAGGAGCCACAGACACAGTGGGAGGACGGCGCTGGGCCCAGCTGCCTGGCATTAAGCAATGACCTCTGCATAATGAAAGATGGCGCCAACACTTCCCACTCATTACAAGGTTCCACACTGTGACAAGATTTGCATATTCATATATTTTCCCCCTTTCCACCTCCCTCTTTTCTCTTTTCTTGGGCACAAATGATTTTATTCTTGTGAGCGGGACATCTGCCCGGCTGACACTGCGCGCTGGAAGAGCAGAAATAAATAAATATGTGTGCAGGGAGGCAAATGATCCATCCAGATGCCACCGAAATATGGCACGCTGTTGACATGTCTGTACAGGGCGAGCGCGTGTGTTTTCCGCAGCTTAAGCACCAGAGAATCAGGTTCGGGGTCAGTGCAGAAGAACACAGCTCGGCCGCAGTCTGACAGAGGACGATGAGAGATGGCTGTTTTGCATATTACTGATCTGACTGGTACAGCGGGTGAGAGTCGGGCACGCAAACTCAAATGTTTATTGCAAAATTGCTTAAACTGTGGGCTTAAGCTATTGTTTTAAAACTGTTTTTTTTTTTTCAAAGTAGCACTCTAAACTAATAATGCACTGATATATGAGAGAGTATAAACTTTTCCAAACATGTATCTGCTTTTTGTGAGATAGATAGTGGTTTATTCAAAGTGTAAGAAACAACATTTGTCCCTTATTGACAAATACCAATGTGTTTTCTGTTTTATTACTTGTGTTTGAACTGTTTGATTCTCTGATATGTGTTGGCAAATTCAATACTATACAAGAAAACATGAAATTAAAATGAATTTTCCATACAGCAACCTGGCTTCTCAAAAACAATTTCACTACTTTTTTCTTTTTCTACATTCTACTTTTTTCTTTATTTCTGTTATTTATTCCACTGGTCTTCTTTCTTTTTTAAAGTTTCAGGGCTCTACTTTTTGTCTGTTTCACAAAACCTTTCTGAAAAATCCCTGGTGCCTAAAGGAATACGAAACAATACCAAGCAGTGAGTAAAAAAGTATGTATTATTTGTTTTTTCTTTGCTAACGTATCGTCGCAAAGTTCTTCAAAGCCTTCAAATCCAATTCGAATACTATATCAAATATTAAAAATGTCACAATAGCAAACAGAGAACAGTCCTTTACAAAGCTATAGCCTCCACCTGCCTCTAGTATAACGTCTGCTATGATCAAAAGACACACACTTTAATGTATTTATTCGATTCATACGCATACAGTACATGCACCTGCAGCTTCAAATCCAGAATCCAAGGTGCTGCCGAAGCAAAATTTGAACCTCTTTTTTATTTCAACTTTAATTCACTTAAATCAGGCAGCTCCGCGCCCACTAACGGTGCCTAAAGTCTCGCCGATGCAAACTCGGCGTAATGATCAGCGCAGCAGTCCTCAATACAAACTGTTTTATGTGTGCACCTCCAGCTCACGGCTACATAAATATAGAATTAGACAAAGTGTTATTTTTTCTTTTTATGTATTATTTTTTCAGCCCTTTCACTCTCCAGTAACATCCCCGGGTCGGCTATAGGCTCTAAGCGCATGCACTTCAAAAAGTTGTCTTAGCAAAAAAGAAGGTTCTTTGCTCTTTTAACTTAAATCAGCAAATGTGGGACCTGGCGGCGGCTTTCTCATATCCCAGAAATAATTTGCTCCCAGGGTTTGAAATTTAAATTGTTGAGAAATTGTGTTTGTCATTAGTAATCAAATATTTGCACTATTGAAATACCTCCACCCCTCATGTTACTATAGCGTCTGCTCCTATAGTTTCTTTCTTGTTTTTCCTTTAACTTATTTTTGAAAACATGAAGCACAAGATACAAAACTCTATGCAATAAGACTCTACAAAAATGAAACATAGACATTATTTGGATCATGACATTACACTGGTTGTGGTGGCTACAGAATGCTATCTGAGCGGTGCTTGTGTCTCTGTTTATCATTCATTAGGGTTGATTGAATTGTGGGGGCAGCACTGTCACTGTTAATGGAGTGATCTCTAATTGAACCACACTAGGCCTTTGTGTTCTGGGGAGCGTCAGAAGCGATAGACTGTGAGCCGCTGATGAGGTTAGGTGACATATATATATATATATATATATATTTATATATATAAAATAATTGCAACAGCATATTTTTTGTATTATTGTATATTTTGAAGTGGTGGCAATTCCTCAGCAGTCTGGATTTGATTTTATGTAATACATGCTTTTGCTAGATTCTAGAACAATTTATATACCTATAGGTTAGGAAATGTTACCATCACTTAATGTTTTTGTAACTTGAAGACTCTGGAGCCTAAAGAGTCGCCAGAGAAGAACGCATACTGGATTAGGAGAAAGGTATAGCTTAAATCTAAACAAAAGTCATATTAAAAGCAAAAGAAGACAATACGAAAAGTACAAATTCTTCACAAAGTAAATGAAATTCCGCCTCTAGATAATGATAGTCTACAATAGACAGACATAAAAAAACTCTATGCCTTTTTAAGTCTCTGTGAATGTGCCCGCCTGTGTGACCTGCGTCGCAGTTCTGCTGGTTCAAACAAAGATGATGAGCGACTCTGGGCTTGTGTTAATGATGGTCCTGAATGGTGCCATCACCGTCCCACCAGACCCAGAAGTTTATCTGTAATGGGCGCCCATAAAGGAGAATCATCATCAATGAAAATGACAGGATATTAAGAGGGCGATGGCTTTAGTGCGAGAGATTGGCTATCTATAAAACCTTTAAAACTTTGCCTTCAACGACAGCAGCCCCTCTTCCAATCCCCCAGCATCCTGCTTTGGAGACACATGCTAATAAGCTCACAACCTTTAATTAAGCAATATGTGTAAGTAGGCGGCCATTATGGGCTGATTTGTGAGCCACTTCATTACAGCGAGCGCTGGCTGCAGACACATCTTCAATACAAATCAAGCTGCCCCCAATAGTATCCTGCTTAATGTGAGGCCAATATTGATATTTTATCACCTCTATCTGACAAATGACTTTTAGGATCTTCATCTTTCATGGTGTTGTGGAAGTACTGAAGACATAGAGAATATATTACAAAGAGGGGTACGCTCAACGACTCCTGTTGCTAACACCCAAATTGTACTAAAACTGTAACCAGCTGGAAAAACGATCCCATACGATCATTTAGACAGAAGACATTCATTATCCATTTATATAAAGTAACTTTGCACTTGTTAAATGAAGTCATCACCCACAGTCAGTCAACAAGACATAGTTTGTCTCTTTTCAGAATCTTTACCGTTTTGTCATGTTCGTTAGCTGAGATCTTGAAGAGCAAAGCTGGTGCCACACCCTCCTCTCACTGGTTCAACACGACGGGCGCCTGAGGACAAGAAATATCCTTAAACTGTTCAAATTCAAACACAAGACAAAACGTTGCCTAAACATCATAATGAAGGAAAAACACACAAAAACAAATATAGCACACATGACAACAGTCGGCAAACAACGGATAACTTCCAAACGAGGCATGTGGTGTAGATGTTTCTTTGTTTTTTGCATTTGTAATTTAGTAACAATTCAAAACAAGTTAAATTCTAGTATGTCACACATATTCACCTATTAGAGAACTTTCTCAAAGATAATCAAGTCTGCAGCCATTAATCAGATGTAAATAATGTTGTATATATTGTATTTATTGTGTCTCTGTGGTTAGGGGTGTTGTATTTTACCTTTATTTTAAATGCTAACTAGGTGATTTGCACAGTGTAAACCTGGTCTGGTCCAGTTTGTACAGTTTGTTTGTCTGATATTAGATAAAATTATTGGAAAATCGCTTACGTCCAAACACGTTCTTTCTCTTGCGGAGCTGCTGTTTGGCTGAGGTCTGTCCGGGGAGCTCTGACCGCGGCCTCTGCTCCAAGTCCACGTCGCCGACCACCTTCAGCAGAACCCACAGAGCACATCACCACGTGTTCTCCACAAAAACTTAAAGGCAAAGCAGAGATGTCCTTCAGGGCGCGGTATATGGAGATTTTTAACGACAGGTTTAGGTCTCGTTATGGTCTCGTTCTGGCGACTGAGGGAGTTTTCATGTCGGAGAGTTTCCTCGGCGAACAGCGTGTGCTCCCACCGGGCCTGGCGTGCTCCTCCAAAACTCTGCAATGGCCTAGTTTTAGAATTCAAATATGATCATGCTCAATCTCTGCATAGATCTGTGATGAGATAGGAAATCAGTATGTGAATGTGTAGCAAGATGCCTCTACTTTTGCCTGAGTACTGGTACACGTTCATGCATTTCATTACATCAAAGATTATAGAGCTATAGGCAAATCAAAAACCAAAAAAGTAGACCCAAGTAGACTACATATGTGGAAAACCAGAATTATTTTACATTGTGTATGTTGCCTTATTTTGATTATCAAGTCAATGCAATTCCTCCCCAAATGTTGTAAGAATCCAAAACACTATTTATCTATGGACTACTTTTACAAGCCTGAAAAGTTGAAGCTGGGATACCTAGCTTGTAAGCCACACAAAATTGGCTTAAAGGTTCACATGCAAGTATTTTTTGGTGTCTGTCACAATTATAGATCCGTTTCTCTAAAGGGAAGAGTGAAAAAGCGACGACCAGACTCAATCAGATGAAGATCACATATTGTGTAACCTTTTTTTTTCAATGTACTTATACGAGATTCTTTCTGTTGGGACAAACACAACTCATCTATGAGAATAACAAAACTATAGGGATCCTAGTTATAATGTTATTTAGCAGCTCATAAAAGTTAGTTACTATTACTGTATTGTAACTAGCTTTTAAGATTTTTTTCTTCAAACAAAAATCATCTTTGACATTTCACGTAAATCAAAAGCTGCGAATTAACGCCGTAGAACAGCAAATGAGCCAAGTCAAAAAAATGTACCCAAGTGTTCCTCTTTATCTCAAACTGGTGTAAAGTTGCCAGATAAAAAGTACTTTGGAGTAGTTCTCCTGCTAAGCTGATATGGCTGGTGGGGAAGCATTAATCTCAACATACAGAGGCGCGCCAAGGACACCCCTGCCTCGGTCCTCTCTCTAAACACAGGCAGGGCTCTCACTTCCTGTCTAAATCATATTCATATTTGCGAGGGCTGGAGATGACCTCACGGCAAATGAAGCGTGGGTCCCGAGCTCCTCAGCGGCAATCAAACGGGCGCTGGAGTAATTACAAAAGAGGCGCTCGTGTGTGTGTGTGAGTGTGCGGGAGGCGGATTGATGCCGTTTGTCAATTAATGTTGCTCCAAGGTGTTTTTGGAAAGGTTAACTTCTTCATATCCGCCGCATGTTAAATTAGGTCAATATTGGTCCGAATAAGGAGTAATTGTTGTGAGGAGACGGAACCCGGGCCTGAGTCAGAGGCGAGTCTGTGTGGTAATGAGACGTTTTCTATGGCTGCGAGTCCAAAGAGCGAGAATGACATTTAAGATGAAATGTAGTTGTACAGTAAATATCAAATGGAAGTTTAGATGACCTCGGAAATGTCAAATTATCCCATAATCAGGAACAAATGCTGATCTCAATCCTAACTTTGCACAATGCTCTGGGAATGCTTAAAACAACAAGCTGATAAAGGAGAAGGAAAAACCAAGTGGTGGAGAGTTCATTTTTAAATGTATTGTTGAACCTGCCCCATAGACTGTAATTATTGCCTGCCCATACTTATGTCTTTGTATGTTTTCTAGCCTTTCTCAGATTTGCTAAATGCAGAATATGTTGTCACTGTGGCTGGTATGTGCTGTAGATATAATGTGCTAACTTATTTTAAGCTACAAATGCAGGTTATTTGACGGCATCTTCACACCTTGCAGACTAATACGGATGGAGCTTTGTAGTTAAAACCGGCACTTTTACAGAAATGTATATTTACATTAATTTTCATACATTCATAAATACATACAGCATATCAACACGTAGTGAAACTGTAACATATTTCTTTCAAATATGTATATTTACGTACGTATATATATATATGTGTGTATAGGTGGGGGAATAATAAATAAAAAAAATTGTATCTTCATAAAGAAAGGAATGTAAATTTTGCAAAGTACTTAGTTGTACGGATGTAACAATAGTATACGATACATTCTCAGTTGATTGTAATTGGTTGTACATGTTTTAGAAGTTGTTGTATAAAATAGTAAAAAATGGTGATATATGGGTAATCACAAATTCACACCTGCCATAACTATGAGAACCTAATCAAAAATCCACATCCTCTGCCATTAAATAATAATCAAAAAAAAACTTTCTAAAATGATTAGTTTGTGGATAAACTCCAGAGCTCCTTTTCTTGTGCCAAATATATAAAACCCAGCTGATATAGCAGAAAAGTGTTTTTATTTTTACCCGTCGCAGGAGACACTCATCATCAGCGTTTTTTCCGAGCCATAAATAATTTGCGCGGCGAGGTAATATTCAAGCTGGCGGAGTCTTAGTTGTGCATCTTTAATGGAAGTTTTACAGAAGCCGAGCCAGTTCTTGCATATGCCGCTGTCTCCCATATGGAGGGAGGCAGACAAAAGGAGCACAGTTGGCTTGTCCTATCTTTTTATAAGTCCATCGACAGTTAAATGCTCGCCCCGGAGAAAAGACGGCACAGGGGGACATAAACCCACTGCACTTTCGGGAGGGGAGATAATGACTTTGCCTGCATTAATTTCTTCATCAGCCATCTTGTTTCTCCAGACAGAGTGGTTATGAGAGCGGCACTGAAGGCCCTCGCTTGTATGTCTGTGTTTGGTGGAGCAATATCGGCCCTAACAGTTGTTGTCAGCAGTGTTTTGTGTGGGCTGACAGCTGCGGAACATCTGTTTATAGGTAATGAGTGTTGCAAAAGCTACACCTCACTTTACCTTTAATGTCTTTTATTGGAGAGCGCTGGTGGGAATGTTGTCTTAACTTTTTGCATTGTGAGTTGGCTATAATGCTCAACGTGGTCGATTCCTCAGAGCCCTCGGCCAAACAATGAATGTGAGCCATATGATGGGTCGTTAATATTAACTTTCTTTAAACACGATTCGATATGCAAGTCAATAACGAGTTCATTATACTCATGGTATGTTTTTATAAACAACTTCAGACCTGCCACCTCCTTCATTCTGTGGTATTTGTGTGAAAATATTGACTATAGAGGTAAAATAAATGTGAGTAATGATACTTCAAGTGTCTCTCACGAGTATTTGACCTCTTCCTCTGCAGACAATTCCCAATTTTATCGCAGATACTTCTTGTTTTCAAATCGAGTAAAGTGAAGTAGTACTGAGATATATAGCTGAGGGGGGACAACTTAAGTAGAATGTCTGTAGTACTGGCACTGTGAGGATCAAATAACAGTATCCTTTGTGGAATATGAACTAAATTGTAATCCAAATGTTCAGACACATTACCGTAATTGTCGGACTATAAGCCACTTTTTCAAGTTCTTTAAACTCTATGGCTTGTTTAGTAACATGGTGTATCTCCAGCTCGATCAGCTGTGGTTTGTTTTATGTGAACAGCAGAGATATGACATGAGGAGATGCACAGAATACAAAGGATTTGTTCTTTATGTAATTAGAGCTGTTGGGAGGACAGAGTTCGATTAAAACCAAGTTTAGTAGCTTTAGGAGGTCCATGTTTACTCCAGTGGGGGCGGGTCCCGGCTCAAAAGTGGTCAAAATGACCTGCGCTGACATGCTTGCAATACCAACCCGGGCCGATGGGGGTGGACCCGGAATTAGAATTAGCCAATGCTAAAATATAGCATCTTCTTACCTCTCGAAAACGTCTTTACAGGATGGTCCAGAAGTCGGCTCTTGGCCCAAAGCTCCACATGTGTGTCAATGCGGAGGGGAGTGAATTTCTTGGGCCACTCTTGTTTAATTTTTGAAGGCACTTGTTAAATGAATGGGGCTCGCGCCGGCTGACGCATGCGCAGATGCGTTTTTTCACAATTTTCTTGTGGGCGAGACCACTCGCGGCCATTTTCGATAGCTCCAGTAGACCACAATTTTTGGCCCATTTGTTTTAACGGCGGAGATGGGTGTGACTACGTCCGTTAATACTTACAGTCTATGGTTTACCAGAAAAATCAATTGGTGAATGAATCCCGGAATAGAAGTTAACAGTTATTCTTTGCCTCCTCAGAATGAATTGTGTCATTTACAAAACTTTGATCATATCAATTCAACAGATTGTTAAACATCTCATCTGAAATCATGTTGTGACCAGTTACAAAACGTATCTATCTGTATCTGTGTTATATACTACAAGTGTAGGCGATACATGGACAAATTAAGCTGTTGCAGTCAAATATCCATAGAAGGCAGCATATATAGGACAAAGTTTATGGGAAACTACAAAGTTTTACAACAATGTTTAAAAGTCAAATTGTGCACCTGTCATGCTCGCAAACTCAAACAGGACATACCTCTTTGTTTGCTCCCATCCGAACACCGCCTGACAGTGTCCATAGCTGAAGGCATCAAAGCTGGATCTCAACTAATACTATTCTAATTCAAAATTGAGTAAATGTGTGTTGTACGTAAGTGCTATGCAAATGTGACAGTCCCTATGTCATGTCAATCTAAAGGTTCTTATTCTATTTGACTTGGTGGGGTCATTTAGGTCATGAGTCAACAGAAAATACCATTTCTACATCAGTCAGAATTACTTCTTATCAATTCAATGTTGTAATTTAACGCTTGAAGACTAATTTCCATGTCTTTTACTAATAGTAGGTTATATGAATCTTCATTATTCTATTCAACCAGCAGAATAATCACATCTCCCAGAGACATGCCACTGGTCTTAAATGGAATAAACTCGTGCTCGCTCCAAAACCAATACAATTTCTTCAAAATATCATCAATCAAGACGCACATGGCCGCTGCGCCTCATATTTCTGTCTATATGTTTGGATGTCTTTAATTCTGCAGTGGTGCTGGTCTGTGGTTTCTATCTTAGGGCCTGTCACCTCACATCTTAAGGCCAGTTTGTCTATATCCTATTGGAATTACATGAAGCTCTAATAAAATCATCTCAAGTGTTCTTGGCAGAGCTGGGAGTGCCCTTTGGTTATTCTTGGATCTTGTCTATACATAAAACTGCTCTATATATTCAGGGCAGGATTAGTAGTGAATATGTAAAGGTTATTTAAGGCAACAGGAACTGCCTCTCTATCTGCCGTCTGATCAGTATCTACAGTAAGACCTCTTCAACTACCAAGATGGCACACATGAGAGATGTATTTCAAATGTTTTAAGACCTATAATCATATGAACATTGAAATTATATAGCATTTACATTGATAATCTATAATAAAACAATTGTATTAAGTTGGTGGAGCCCCCCCCCAACGAGAAATGGACCGAGGGGAATAAAATGGATGGATGGATTGTATAAACTTGTCTTTTTTATTATGACATGTCTTTTGGCATTATCTAAGTGTTGCAGGAGTGAATACTGTTTGTGTCAGATCAAGAACAATCTCCCAGTTGACTGAAGATGGAAAAAAGCCAGGTCGGTTTTAATCTTTGCGTGTCTGTTGTTTTTGATATTCAGTGCTGTTCCTTTAGAAAGAGATAATCAAGGAAAGCTAAAGCTGCGGTACCTAACTTTTCAAACCACAAAAAATCTAATCCATCGAACTCAACATGCATGTACTTTTGGCTTCATTTTTGGATCAGCTTTTTTAGACATGAAAGTGAAGAAGAACCACGATCACTCGACCAATCAGCTGTCAGCCCATTGTTTCAAATAGTGACTCATAGGGATCTTTCTTACTCAATGCAACAGAGTGTAGGTTTATCCATTGTGACATTAATAAAATCTGTTTATTATCCAACAAGATGAAGACAGCAAGTTGTCACATGATTTTTTCACAACTCTTTATGGGACAAACAACAGTGTTTTTTATGAGGTAAAAAGTTAGGTACCCCAGCTTTAAGATTATTACGATTAACCGTTACAGCCCTTATATTATCACATTATGCCCTTTGTCACTTCTAAAAGAACAGGAAAGCAGCAGGGTCGAGATTGTTTTTCACACTTTAAATGTCAGGCATCCATTCTTTTACAACTACTAAGTGGGTGTGAACACAGACCAACATCTGCATTTATGTATGGATTCAATAAAAAACAAAGTGTGGGGCGTTTCGCGAGGACTCATTTTAATAGAAATAAAATTAATTGGATGCATTTTCCTTGGCTAAAACTCCATACTCCAGATGTTTTATCCACGAGGCCCAAGTCTAGAGGCAACGTATGCAGTGACAGTCCGATGCAAGTCATAAATATAGCATGCTGTGTGTTTACTCACATAAACTCGCCATCACTCACACATTGACAGAGAGCCATTAGAAGGAGCACAGCCTCAAAGCTAATTGTTATAACGCATATCACCCCCTCCCCTCTTTCGCTCATTCAAATGACATTCAAACTTCTAATATTAATTTTGTTGCAGCCATCGAGGTCGCTCCTGGGGAAGTGTCAGAATGATTGAAGAAAAGAGTGAATTCATTTTACGGCAGCACTTGTCACAAAGCACCACTTTTAATTAGAGAGCAATTCTTGAGTAACTTTCTGACCTGACGCTTTTTGTGAGAATGTAAAGTGGTGAAGTTATACACGCAGGAGCAATCAAGACAAAGCAAGATTGGGTCTTTGTGCTTAAGTTTTAGTGGAACTTTGGAATTGAAGTTACTCATAAAGTTGTTATTGACATTGTGACTGATGCAATTTTCATTATAGCAAAATCAAGGTTATACTAGTATCCCTGTAGGTAATTTTGTCCTCTGCATTTGACCCATCCTGATGCCACTGGGGCGTCTATCAGGGGCAGTGGTCGCTGTAGAACAGTGCCCAGGGACCAATCTTCAGATGTTTATTCTCGGCTTGGTCAGGAGGATTTACCTATTGTGCATGTTTTTTAGTGGCAGGGGAAACTGGAGCACACGAAGGAAACCTACACAGACACGGGAAGAACATGCGTACTCCACTCAGAAAGGCCCTGGTCCGACTGGGATTCGAACCTTGTTTCTGAGAAGCTGAAGTGCTATCCATGCCACCGTGCCGCCCGCGCCACCACCAATACTTTTTTATTTACAAAGAAAATAACTTTATTCTTACTTATATGTCCATGCAAGCCCTAGCTAAATACCAAGCCAACTGATAAAATAGATCAGCTATTAAACAACTTTATATATGCTGTGACCTTTGATGTTCCATAGACCAGGTGTGTCTTAATTAAAGCTTTATTGTTAAATTGAGTTATTGCTATTAAACACTGACCAGGACCACACTTCAACGCTCTTATCCTCTGCTATGGGTCTATGAGATGGATACAGAGCTCTCTCAAAACGCCCTCTCACCCCATGCCTACTATGTGTCTTGCAACCTTGAACATCGTCACAACAAGGGTCCTGGATCAACAGGGCAGATAACTTGAATCTCAGCCCACCATCATGAGACTTCATTCTGGAATTATCCATAAACTTGTTTCAATTGCAATATCTTGTTTTGTCGTGATCCTTGCGACTGAATAGGAATATTTTTTGAAACACTTTTTAAATAAAGCTTGGTTTATAAATAAAACTTGACATTTCCTCAATGTCTTGAAGCACCCACCTCAACGATGGCTCCGTCTGACTGTCTGAGGAACTGCCTGTATTTCTGCTTCAGCCCACTCAGAAACAGAGTGTGGACCGTCACGTGGGTGCTGGTTTCACCCTGAGGTGGGGAAGCACCCTCAGCTGGTGGGCTCTCAGCCATCACAGTGGAAATCATCAAAGGCTCCTCCTCCGTCCAAATATGGTCGTACACTGCAACCTGTCAACAAAAAAAGGAATACAATCAAACATGTTGCAACTATGACAACCCAGGGGTCTCGCCACTGCTAAATAGTGGGATAAAAACTTTTCGGCTTCTGCTGGAATGCTTCACAGGATTGTTTGTCCTGATCTATCTTCTATAAACTGCTTTTGGAGATAAATGCTAAATGTAATTAGAGTGAATGGATTATATAATTTCAGATCATCTCAATTATTAATTTTATGTTAAACAAAAAGCAGGAAGCAGGACCAAAACCATCTCCTCACCATCTAATTCGATCATCAACTTTCATCAAGTATATTTAGTAGTATTTATAGTAACGAATTTGAAAAAGTCTATTTGAAATGACTGCATCGAGCGATTTCTGCACCGTTTCCTGTGGTTTATGACAAACTAAAATATATACTAATGAGACAAGGCCAGCAGCTGCATTTAGGAGCATAGGGAAAAGTCACTAAAATCTTGTACTTATACCGTTATGCTATGGTAGCAATTTTATCTTCAATGATAGTTCTATTGAGTGATATGACACAATTCTGAGATGAAAGCATGTAGATTGGGTCCAAAGTGGTCGGATCGGTTTGGGAGCAACGCTATTAGAGCTTGTTTATTTGCACACACGTATGGTTTTTAAAGTCACTCATTCATGTGTCTCATCACTCTCAACCCCACTTTTCCATAGACGTCTGGTTACAATGCACTTTGTAACTCTGGTCTACGTTAAGCTCTCTATAGATTACTTGCCTATACACATTATTTATATTTACGTTTTTCCTTTAATATGTAAAAAAAAAAAAAACATCACTAGTACAACAGGTTAGCCCCATGTGTCCCTTACACCAGGTAGATTACAGCACTAATTCCTATGGGGCCGGATCAGCAGCAGGTAAAGGGACGGGTTGTGTTTTCTGTCATGCATAAATACATCTAATCCTGTTGTTTATTGCATGTGTGTGTGTGTGTGTGTGTGTGTGTGTGTGTGTGTGTGTGTGTGTGTGTGTGTGGGTGTGTGCGCGCGTGTGTCTGTGTGTATATATATCTACGGGACCCACATACCTGTAAAGTCCCCACTCTGCAGCCCGGGTGAGGCGCAGGAGCAAGCGGCGCGTGTAACATGTTATATAGGTCATGTAACTCGGACTCATCCATGTGTGAAGATCATCAGGCTCCATCCTACACTGTCTGCGGGTGAGCCTTTCATGTCGACTACTCTCACGCATTTGGGGAAATTAAATAGGGAAATTAGATTCAATATGTGGGGACATTACTGCCACTTGAATATTAAAGATGGAATATTATACTTTTTTGAGGACACGAAACCCTAACTCTAACGTACTATATGTATATCATTTTGTATAGAGTAAAGTGTTAATTCCTACAAATTTGATCTAAAATGGCATAAAAAGGTTTTTCTCAGAAAGCTGATTTTCAATAACTGTGTGATGGTTTAACCAAAATCACAAATGATCCTTTTGGTACATATTCATTTAAGAAATCACTGGAAATACTGGTGTGTGGAGGTGAACATAGACTTACATTCTAGTTTTAATTAGTTTATTAAGAAGTCAAGATGAGCTCAGCTTAAGCCAAAAATCAGAAACAGAAAAATAATTATTTATATTATTATTCATTATTGTATTTTTTTATTTTAGATTTTGTCTGTTATGTCCATATTTATGTGAACCTTTTCATAAAAATATGAAGAATTCCATTGTAAGTAACAGGAAGTCTCAAACTAGGAATGTGATTTATTTTTAAGAGTAAAAATAGATATGAGGTATGTATATACATCCATCCATTTTCTACCCTTTAATCCATTTCTGGGTCAGGGGGGTGGCAGTCAGAGATGCCACCCAAGTCTCATAGCACCAGCCCCTCACTGACCCTCTGCAGGTGGTGAGTCCACAGGAGGACGGCTGCTCTCTGAGTGTGAGCATAGCCTTGATCTTTCAGTGGGGGCTTTGGGCAAAGTGGGGTTAAGTGTCTTGCCCAAGGACACAACGACAGCAGTCATCAGTGGGAGTCGGTGGAGAAGGTGCAGAGGTGGGAATTGAAACCACAACCTTCTGGCCTTAAGGCCAATGCTCTACCAACTGAGCTACTGTCGCCACTATGTATATACATGTATACAAAATATATATTTAAAATGTCACTATGTACAAGTGCGCTGAGCACACACAATAGACATTTAGCAGTGCAGTTAAAGTGACAAGGTCAGAGGTCAGTGATGAGTTATGAAGTGTTTCTGAGGTTCTTTAAAAAATGAATCATATTCTGCATTACAGCATCATCAATTACTGTATATAATGTTATATAATTGATATTATATACGTTATTATAATGGTCATGTGGTGATGATGCCATGGTGTCATTACTAAATTATGAACACAATTCTACTGTATCTGCAATGTAACTTATGCACTCAATACCTAATATGTATAGAAAATGCAAAAAAAAAGTTGATAAAGGGAAGTATGGGCCCAACTTTGCCTAAAGTTATAATCAACCATTGAACTATAGCAAAAAACACCCAGACATCCACTCAAAGTCTCCAAGTGCAGGAAGTGTTCAAGTACTTTCTGAAACTCAAGGTGACCCCCTAATTGGCGGCGTAATTATGATTCTCCTAAAAAAAACGGTGCGAGGGAAAAGGAGTGAGTGGCAGGGTCAAGCTGAAGGAGAGCTTTCATATGCGCAGTATCCATGTCACCTCGCGCTCATAAACGCTCAGCCAAACACAACTTTAGGCACTTCACCAAGAAAACACAGAGTCATTACCCCACGTGTAATTAGAGCCAGTTTGTGCTGCAGACCACGAGCGGCGAGAGGAGCAGCCGCCGTTTCACATCAGACAATAGTAATTACAGTATTTGACAAATGGTGATGAATAAAAGGATGGATTTATTTGTTTTGTGCATCTACATTTATATTGCATACAAATGTAAATGTGTCTTCATTACTATTTAGAATCTTTTCTCCTGGACACAAGTTTTTTACAAAAACTTGAAAATACAAACACACACACACACACACACACACACACAAATCCATGACAGGCAAATCAAAGCTACAAAAGCTACAAGCAACAGTTACTGCTGTTCATACACACTGTCCCATCCCAAAAAAATAAATGAAAAACAAATACATAATAAAAATGGCAATCTGAACAAAATAATAATAAGAATGGTAATATATATATTTGGTCTTAGTTATATATTATTAGTACTCTATGTCCCCACAAAGGGCTTACAAAAAATAATGCATCTTAACAAGTGCAGTTCTGGCTATAGTAATGAATATAGTATCGTTCCTTTACCTTATACCAGCTGTATCTTTCGGTGCAGTCTGCATACATAATTTCAGAATCAGAATCAGAATCAGAATCATTTTTATTGCCACGTAAGTAACAGGAGGTCACAGACTTGGAAATTGCTTTGGCTCAGTGCAACAGTAAGAAAGAGATAATAAAAATAAGAATAAAAAACACTTCTAAAGAATAAATTTAAATTTAAAATAGAGTTACAGTTACTATTTACAATATACAAGTGACTTGCATGTAAAAACACTTTAGCCATGCCACCATCCTACAGTAATTATCCTGTGAAATCCACTTGACAAGACGAGACAAAAGCTTGAAAAGGTGTTTGTTAGGGTTTGGGTGATGCCATTTCATGCAACGCAGCATGGCTCTCAGGACGCATCCCGGCGCATACGCACAAAGAGGGAAGAGCATTAACACTAACCAGCCTGCTCCACACTACCTTGTTCTGGTGTGTTGTGGTTTAGTGCTAGCCTGGCTCCTAGCCCTAGCCTGAGTGCTCTCTCCACTCCACCATTGTTCCATTTGATAGCACTAAGTGACTGATTTAGGTTCAATGGCTGCATGGAGCAGGCAGGCCAGCTGTGGGTTAAGCAGATAGCATTCAAGTGAGCTAACCCAATTCCAACCCAATCAAGTCAGGATTTATTGTTGTGGTCTGTATTTAGAAATCTGATAGAGTCCGGATCAGTCCCTCGACTTGCATCAGGAAAGACAACCCTTATTTCTTTTAGAGGGGACTATAAACGGCAAACCATGTTTTCCAGCAGGGACATAAATTTAAGGATTTGTAGACATTACCGCAAATACAGAGAAGAGGCAGCAGAAGCAGGCTCACAGGATGTAGGGCTGGCTCTGCTGCTCACAAATACACCAGGTTGTTTATCCTAGAAAGAGATGGGATTTTACACCCACAAAATATAATTCACCCTACATGTTGGCATACATTAACTATAGTCAGTCTTAAGTAGTCAAATAAATACACACCAACTATAAACTGCATTCTATGATGGCTACGTTTTAGTAAGTTTGGATATTATAAGAGATGTTCATGTGTGGTATATTTTTAAACAGTGACATGATTTCATCACTAAATGTGGAGTTATAGGAAATGCACTGTGAGACAGTAGTGGCAATAGCTCTGTCTGAGGGAGACTGTACTTTGTATTGGTCCCACACTTTGTCCTTGTGTGTCACAAATATCACACTGACCTTTCCCTGCACTTTGTGACATGTTCACTATAAACACCAAGTCTGGATTTGACCATTATAAAAAGACATTTCTGTCGCGACTGCCTGTCCCTGCTGACAATAAAAACACTTTGAAAACTCGACCTCTTAACGTGAAGAAAAAAAGAGCCATTTTTCCCCTGACCAAAAATCATAACAGCATGTCAGAGCGGAAACTAACTGCATGTCCACAAAGGGCAAATTAAGTAATGTTTACACAAATTAAAAAAGAGGCGTAGCCGTGTGGACTCAGGAGGCTGTCTGCCAGTGTGAGAAAACAGGGGAAGGTTTGATGACATTTGAGTTCATTGTGCTCGTACACATGTGAGGCTGGCACTGCTCCAGCTCCAGAGCCTCAGGCAGGGCCACACCAGGCTGCAGTCCCCTCATCCCTCTGTGATGGATCAGAAGTAGATAGACATCATTACCATTCATGCTTCTACCTCCTCAGGTCTATCACCATGTCTAATTTTACCTCCATTTACATGTCCCCATTGACTAATTAAAATGTCCTTTTCTTATTATCTCTACCTATAACTTGCCGTCCATTGGTTTCAAATAATTCCACACATTTTTGGCAATTCTTATAGGTTTGAAAGGTGAGGGCATAATGTATTCCAGTCGGATCAGACCGTGTGTGTATTTATTGGACTGGACTTGTCACTAGTTGCTTATCGACTAGTGAACCTTCAAAATAACTGACTCTGATTTTGGCAAACCATAAACAAAACACAATATCTGTAGTCAACCACCTGCAGGGGACCCCAGATTGTTATGGAGAAAAAGCATTTTAGTCTCAAATTTACCACATGCTGTCTATATATCATTAGAATCTTGGGCTGAGAGCTGATTGATGTTCATATTTATTTTGAGCAAATAAGTGTACCATTGATTGGCTGAGATAGATGAAGATGGTTCTCTTGTTTTCACTTTTCTGTCTGAAAAATACATGTATGTGAAAAAACTAGTTATAGAACCAAGCTGCTTCAATATTTCAGTACGTAGCTTATTGTTTGTGGTTTTAAAGTTCGGTATTATCATTCAATTAGCTATTTGTGAATTCGCCTGTATCTGCATCCACTTTGACTGACTATATCACTGGACGCCGCGACAATGGTTCAAAAATGTTTTCTAGATCTGTTTCTAAACTAAACAAAACTAACAGAGAACATTGCACCAACCGAGAATATTGCACCAACAGAGAATATTGTACCGACAGAATGTTTCACCCTCTTCAGTTAAGAATAAGTTTAGGACAAATTGTGCTATTACTGACCAACACGTCGTGTGATTATAATGTAATAATACAGAGAAGTGGAAGGAGCAGGCCTTTCCCCTGTCACTGTCATGATCCAGTTGGTTGTAGTTCTGTCCTACTTGGCTTTAATTTACAGTGGGGAAAATAATTAGAATCTCACTTTTGTGAAGAGTGGAGTGAAAATGTAAACAATGCTTCCCTGCGGGCGGGTGCTTCATCACTTTGACAGGTGCATTTGAATTTGCCTGGGTGGCCGACAGCCCTGCTTATTTATGTGTCAGTCGCACATGGAGGACCCGGCTGGCTGCATGGGACCAGACTTGCAACTTGGGACGAGTGATGTTTTTTTTTCTTTTTTTTGTCCCTTTTTTGGTGAAATGAGCAGGCGAGAGGAGAGTGACGGTGGACTGTGGGTGTTTTGGCACTGAGCTGGCACCGAGAAAGACAACTCACAGGGAGATTAAAAGTGTGGAGGAAAGCTGGTTAGAAGATATGAAACGCTCTGCTTGGGATGGGCCTTATGGGCTAGCACCAACATGTTTTATTAAGGCAGGATCTCACGAAGAGCTTACACAAGCAGTTTGAAAATACAGACTTTTGAATTTCTTTTCAAAGAGCTGCCAAGTCACATGGATCTGACTGCAATGTAGTATAATAATTGATGCGTTTGATATATTCTGATGATAATGTACGTATACAATGACAGCTGTTCACTGATTCTCAACTTGTACAATCATTCCCTTGTGATCATATTTCAATATTAGGACGAGCATTTAACAATAATCCTTGTGACTGCTAGTATCTGCATTGTGTGAGTGTGTGACGCCATCGACAACCAGTGCTCCAACGTTATAAAAAATTGACCTAATACAGTAGAATGTTTTGAATTAACAATAAAATCACGTAGGAGCGTCTTTGATTATTGCCAAGTGAAAAAAATAAGTAGACACGGTTGCTTCTTTTGTCCACAGATCCCCATCCACGCACGCACACACACTTGTACTGTACAGGCCTGGCTCCCAAACAGACAAAGCCCCACACGGCGAGGAAACGCATGCGTGCATCTCCAGCGCCTGCGGGCACTCGGGGGCCAGGCAGCAGGCAGGCAGAGGGGGAGGAGGCGGCTGGGGAGGTGGGAGGGTGAGAGGAACGAGGGGGGAGGAGGGTGTGAGGAGAAGTGTGCACTGTGCAGAGGCTCTCTAAGCTATCGAGGGTCAGCCCCACCACTCCAGAGGCACCGCGACCGGGCTGGCCCTGGTTCAAGGCTCCTGTTTGCTCATTCCACACACACACACACACACACACACACACAAATACACTCCATACTGATACAAATGTGTATTCTTATTTTCTATATGAATATTGAAGCCTATATATGCCTTTTTCTAGGTATTTCAACTCATATACATGTTTTACGTTGAGCTTATTGCCAAACAGATAGTAATCCAAAATGAGTTCATAGTGTATGGATTCATTCAAAGCTGCATAATTTAATCTCTGCTCTAAAGTATTGGGGCATACAGGCATTTCACCGTAGCAAGTCATGAATTTTCATTTTAATTTGAAAACAGCTCCTATTTAAATGAACCTGCATCTAAATTCTGAGGCTGTTGGTTTGGAAGTGAAAGTTGCGCTCAAAAAAGTATAGAATAGCTAATGAGGCAACACATCTTTATGATCTTTAAAACAAAGACATTTATCAGTATTCCTACTTTGTTATTTAACATGTATTTCTGTAATGTAATTGTATATATATTGATCATTTTGTTTTCAGTAAGTGCAACGCAAACGGCATCTGACACACTATATATGATTTTCACTGATGGGAAATAATGCTATCTCCATTAGCACACTAGGAGCTGCAGAAATAATGCGAGTTTATTCACAAACAAGGCTCAAACTAGCCACAGCACATTGCACACGGCTGCAAACCAAAACCATAAAGCAGAAAGCCCGCCGACGAACATGCATGGATAAGCCAAGCCACGTCAACCATTAGAACGGAAATAGATACACCATTATTGCAAATGTCTCCAATATGCACACAGTCAGCACATATAATTGGAGCAGCTTGAAAACGGCATGGATGCGCACTGTCTGCAGCGGCTCTGATTTGGCTGAAGTAAAGGTCTATGTCTCTGTAAACGCACCACTGGGCAGGACAGGCCACCCATTCATATTCACAGACACACACACACACACGTTGCAAAGCATAGCGACAATCTTACACACATGCTACAGTCATTTTACTCCACAACCGCACCCAGGATGCAAATATCACAAGCTATAAATATTCATATTAAGACATTCTAAATTGACTTGAAGAAAAAAAAAAAGAAAAAAAAGGAAAAACTCACGGCACAACTATATTTACAGACTAAAGAGATTATCCAATAAGATGGTATCTGTGAGTGCCTGAGAAAATCCACAAAATAAGATATGCATAATTCACTGTTACTAATCTCCTTTGCAGCAAATAAAGCTATTCTACTGTATGGTAAACAACTCAGATAGCTGCTTTACTGTCATGTGACTCAGTAAGGGCCTGGAGGGGTTGACTTTTCAAGGTTTATACAACTTTACTTGAAATATTCAACTAGCTATACCTTCCTTAACTCTAAATTAGCCCTGGAGCTGTCACCAGGTTAATCCTTGTTTTGGGGGACACCTCATTCCCGTATTAAATTACATGGGGTAGTCATTTTAACGGTATTTTTCGGCAAACCTGGTTTAAGATGCAGCGCAGATGCCAAAGTTGAGTGCTACCTTTGATATCCAAAATTTGACTTTGGAGTAGCTTCAAACTAATCACGCCTGCGAGGCTCTAGGTGATAAGTATCCAAGCCAATAACCCCAAATGAGAGCAGGGGATCACGTGCGCTGTCTCTTTAAGGTTATGAGAGTAAAATGTCTCTCTCTCTCTCCTCGGGAGGTGACGCAGGGCTGTTAAGAGGCGACACCTGTCACCATCAGCAGAGCTCCTCCCGTTGCCTGCGGCCCGCGGGATACGGCCAAGGTCAAAGTCTTCAGACCAACGAGAAGCAAGTGACTAACGACACACAGTCAGCGGCGATCACATCTGAGCTCTTCAGCGTGGACAAGGCTCTGTGCAAATGCAGGGCAGATGCGGCTGCTGCTGCTGATGCTTATTTGCAAGTTTTTTTTGTTCACGGTAGATGACCAAATAAATTCTTGGTCGACTAAGCAGAATGAATGACAATCGATTAATTGACTTATTTAATCCTATCCAACTCAAACTGCACTTAAGTTACTGTAATGCAAAAAATGTATATAAATCTCAGCAAAACATCAAAAGAATAGTTAGAGATACATGAACGATATTGATTTGATCTGGATTGAATTTAGAAGAAACTACAACAATCTTCAGCAATTTTCCTTCATAAAAAAAAAAAAAAAAAAGGATTTACTTTTAAAGAATATATTGTTTTTGTATTTAAAACCTCTCCAGAATAAGGATCCTTTTCCGAGTCTAACATCCAGTAACACAAGGCGTTGTGGCGGCTGCACCTCTGAACCGGTGTAAGATTAGTCCGGTTCATTTTAACTTTCCCCAAATCTCTGTTCACTCACACTAAACAAATCGGTCTAATTTGTTTGCCTTCTGTTTCACATTACGTGAGGGCCTTGGAACACACCAGGGCTCCAGAGAACTTGGTCTGATCTTTTAGAAATGAGGACATTGAGATCGGAGAAGGTGAAGAGGGGAGAAAAAAAATGCATTAAAAGGCTGCGGAAAAGCTGGAGTCAATTTAACCTCCTCCCTATGAACATGTTTTGACAGCTGACGTGAGATGCCTCATGTTAGCCATCAAAAAGCTCTTCCTCTGAGGTGGATTAATGGATGAGGGATCTGAGAGGATATAATATTTTGGCCTTTGGTGTGTCGGCCATACTGTGGGAAGCAGAGCAAAGGCACTTCCTTGTTTTGACTGGCGGACTCTCTGGCCCCTCCCTCCCTCGCCTCTCTCCTTCAGACAGTGAAGCCAGCCCAGGCCCAGTCTTAGGTAGATAATGACATCCTCCTTCTGAATTAATTGTGAGGGACACATTAAGCAATGGGGCTGACACTCCCTGTAATTAAAGCATTCACACCGACGAGTTCATACTGGAACACTCACTCGTCTTTCACATCAAACCCCATTATTAGTCTCAATGTTAGATAATTACATAATATTACTCCATGGTCAGTGAGGATTCCAATGCAAACTATCGTTGATCAACACTCTTCAAACTCCATGCTAAAATACACTTTCCATGTCACTCCACCTGAGGCGTCACCATAGCAACGCACAGCATTGGGCACAAAATGTTAAATGGTCTATTATACGGAAGGGTGTTGAAATAAGTTGCTAAACATGCTAAATATTAAGATTCAAGATTCAATCATTTATTTGCCATTTGCAGCAAAACCACCAGACAGCACACACCAGAGTTCTTGCCAAGGCGCCATTGTTTTGTAAAGTTTTGTAAGTCGTTGTCTTCATGTTTGGTCGACCACGTTTTTTTAAAGGACAACTCACCCTCAAATCCACTTTTTTTTTGCTGATAAACGGTATAAATGAGTGTCCAATAGTGTTGTCTACATATCCTGGTCATAATCTTGTCACTTTGGTGCAAATTAGTTGAAAGTTAGACTTTCTGCCTAAAACCGTCTGTGAGGCGCCATCTGCTGGCGACCTGTGTTACTACATTTGAATTTTTAATCTGGCGCCAACACTGGCACAGAAGTTGGACCTGACGTCTGCAAGTTGGACCTGACGTCAGCAGCCCCCCGCCCAGAGCAATGTAAACGGCCCAGTCTCGTTCACGCCCCCTTTAGTCCTCCAGGCTACGCCCATTTAGAGGAAGATTTGAACAGGAAATGTGAGTAACGTAAGCTCCGAGGAGCGGGGGTGAGAACCACTTTAAGAGTGTAGAAAAATTATTGTATATATTTATGTTTGAGTGAGAGTGTTTTGACCATGGTGCAAGTGGATCAAACAATGAGGAGTAGTTTGGTTGTATATGGTTTAAACGCACGGTTTAGAAATAGGAGTTTAGAACGGCAGGAGTGACTCTGCAGAGTTACTGTATATCCTCAAACTCTTTTTTCCATCCTTTTATCATCCGTTTTATATGTACACAAATATATTCCAACTTTATTCACAATAAACACAATATGGTGGTTGGTCATTGTTTCCAAACACAGGATGTATCTGAGCATTTATGGCAAAACCAGAAATCTCATTTGGGAATTCTCTGAATAAGTGGGAACTAGGAATAGACAAATATTTGCTTATTATGTACATACAAACAAATATCTATCTATATATCCTATTCTGTCATTTATTATCTATAGCCCAAACTGGAACCACAATATCAACAAACCCATAATCAATATAGTTCCTTAGACTCTCAACCATAGTGTATAATAACTAACAAACGTCCAACATTGACTTGAGCTTTTGAGTTGGGCAATTATATTACACAAAACAACATACATTACAGTCTAATACAAAATATCACACAAAACAAAGACAAAATGTGTAAGGAAAATTTGATTTGGCACATTTATTGTTTCCGATCCTACCTGCTACCTCCCCTTTAAACATAACAAAACATATTTTTTCCAGCAGCACTGATTTGATCTTTTTTTTTTTTCCCTTAACCACTGCAAACTGCGTTCACACATTACTGCCCAGCAAAGTCTGTGACCTTTTCAGTAACGTAGCCGTGTAGCCTTTGCAGTCATGTCTCATCTTGAGCTCCCTAATGCTGCGCGTCTGCTGCTGCGCTTGCTACATCGCTCTCTGTCCTTGCCTCTGTCCCTTTCCCCTCAGGCTGTGTTGGTGCCTTCAGCGCTGTCCACAAAAAAAAAAAGAAAAAGAAAAAAGCCATGGACTGTAATTGAAGAAGCCACTCTAATGTGACGTGATGTCGGCTCACAAAAAGGTTGGAGTGTGCACTTAAAACTTGCACGCTTGTATTTGCCGGAGACGTAGATTTTGTGCGTGTAAAGTGACGCATAAGCAACACACATATTCACGGGCGTTGCGTAATGTAGTCCAAGGGAGAGATTAGTGGCCACACATGCCCTATGACTCCTCGCGACCCTCCTGCCAAGCTAAAGCACTCAGACGCTTCCATCTCTTCTCAATGCTCTTGTTTTGGGTTCCTGTCCGGAGCTCGGGGTCCTTTTGTTAGCTGACAGGGGGTTCCGGGGCGTCCTGTCACGGCCTGCTGCCCTCTCTGTCCGTCTTACTTCACACAGTTGACCGTTTTCCCAGAAGCTCTGATCGTTTCACAGGTGGTTCTTTAAGGTATATATAGGAGGATTTTACCACATTTTAGGGAAGAACCGCCCTCTCCACTTTTTGAACACAACTCTCTGGTCTTATTTGACGAGCAAGTGTCACCAGAATGATGGACCAATAGGCTTGATGATCCACTCGGAAGTAGTAAATCCTCCTAAATACCTTTAGGAGGCATTTGCAGTAAAACCACATTGGAAAACTGTGCAAGACTACTACCCCAGTGCGCACCAGAAAGATAAGATAGTGCACACCTGCCACAGAGAATGTATCCAACTGGAATATTGTGTATGCAAGATTGGATTAGAGCCAATTTACTACTGTCTCTGATCTTTAACAATAAGGACACTGCTCACATATAGCCCTAAAATCAAAGTGTACAACGTTCCAAATATTGTAATTCAGAGTGAAATAAAAAAAATAAACAATTATTATCATGACCTAATTATGTAAAGACCATTGTGCTGAATAAATCCATTAGTTTAAAAATCAACAATAATTATCAACGCCAGTTTGATTGACAAAGGTTGAATTGGAGCTGCTGGAGAACATTTGTAGAGATGTTTTTTTTACTGATTGATTTTTTTATCAAAAATGAAACAGATACACACTGATGAGACATATACACAATAACGTTCTTGTGTTTGAGTCTTAAAATCATATCTTTCATCACGTAATGATCAGTGTATTCAAATAAAAGTATAAGAAGTATTCAAATAAAAAAAGTTAACAATGGATTGATTGCTAAGATAATAGATTATTGAAAATATAACCTTGATAAGTTGCAGAGAATCAAAACAACCGAAACTACCTCATGATTTTGTTGGAAAGATTGCACTCCATCTGATCATTGTTAATCACAGACCTTCTTAGAAACATCTGAAAAATTAAATGTTTTTGTTTTGTATATAGCACCTGTAAAAAATATCAAACTTCCCTCGCCTTACCGTATGAGACAACGATAACATTTCCATGATATCTTTGTCTTCTTAGTTTGTTAAGCCCTAAACAGTCTCGCATTGTTGCTTTAATAATGGGCTCAACAAAGAACTATCATCAGTCCCAGTGGAAACAATATAACTTGTGTAGTTTAAGATGGAAATCACATCCCTGTCTCGATATGATTAACAGGCAGACTGGGGTTATCATTACCGCTCCTGTCTACGCTGATTGTCTCTCAACAGGTTTCCTCCCCACCACTTGAGCGGCTGTTGCAAAGCACCCTGGGTGATCCCAAACTCGCCCGCTGGTAACCCATTACCTAGACATACGGAGATGAACAGCACAAAGGTACGCAAATGTTGATGCAATCAGGTTGCGAAAACATCTCCAGGGCCACCACCACCACCATGCCCCCCTCCCCTCTTCTTCTCCCCTCTGTCTTTGTCGCTGCTACTTTTAATCTCTCCCTCTCTCCTTCAATTATCCCAATGTCACCAGCACCACCACCGGGAAAGTTTGGGTAAAATCGCTGCGACCCGCCGTTCTACTCTGTCATTGTCAGAGCGGTAGCACTGACAAAACAGTTTGCATACCTGCTTAAGTATTACAGAAATTAACACCTCCCTTCCAGGTACAGTAATCAAGGGGGTGACGCGAGACAATTAATTAGGTCCATCTGCATCACTGCCTTTACATAATTAATGGGGCTCATTATAGGAACACGAGTTTGAACATGCTAGCACTCTCGCCACTCTCGCTCTGAGCTTCTACCGCACAAGGCAAGCCGTGTTTATAGAGATGTTTGGTACAAATTGTTCAGTTACTTTGTCGGGGGCATTTTCAGGCACATCTATATACTTTTATTAGTGTTTTATCACTAAACTACACAGGGGGAATAAACAAAATATATGGGACTCTTCTCACTCCAGCCAACATCTATCATATAAGAATGTTTATTTTTTATTGTCTAAAAGTAATTAATTTAATACATTCTGTAACACATTAAAACTGGAGTGCCTAACTTTGAAAAACGTGGCTCTCCAAAATGTTTGGTTTTATTAAGAGTTTTGAGTATGTAGTAAGTGTTTATATATTGACATAGCGCCTTTCACAGACCAGAGTCACAACGTGTTTTTAGTGGTAGGGGAAACCGGAGCACCCGGAGGAAACCTACGCAGACAGGAGGAGAACATGCAAACGTCACACAGAAAGCTCTGGAGGTGGAATCAAACCCAGGACCTAACCACTGCACCACCGTACTGCTTTTGCACATGCATGTAATTGTTTTGCCTTTGTTACCGCCTGCCATCACTCAGCCAATCAGCTGTTAAATATAACATGTTTTTTAATGATGAAGACAGCCTGATTTGTTTTTAAAAAATTCAGTCGAGACAAACAAAGTGTATTTATGAAACACACAAGTTAGACACTCCACCTTTAGGCTTTTATATTATTTAACTCCAACGACCAAAAATCATGTTTGTCTATTGACGCATCTTTTGTGTTAAGCTTTTAAAATGCCAGAAACATGACATAGTCTCGTGAAGGACAAGAATCCTGATTATGAGAAGGAGTATAATTAATGGCTATGACTTGTGGGTAATGGCCTACTACAACATTGGGTTTTGCTTCCTTCCTGAGATCAAATTAAAGACCACATAGACGCACACTTGGCTCATTCCCTTTTTTTTACTGCATCAGGAAGCTGCTGACGTCTGAGCCCTCCAGAAATATTTAAAGCTTGCAGCAAGTCAAATAATCATATGGCATCAAGAAATCTATAATATAAAGTTAATTGGCAAGAAAGTAGAAAATAGATTACGGTTTACGACTGCCTTGTGAAAATTACAAGTTTGATAATAATAGGCCATTTGCAGGTTGATTATTGAATGTGGATCGGGTTTTATTGTTTGAGCGCTGCAGGGAGATAGAGCGAGAGTGTCAGGTTTTGTCAGAGGTACAAGTTGCGACAAGGTAATTCTCAAACTAGTCTAATTGATTACGTATACATTTCATTTAGCAGGACCTGGAGTCCCCTTTAAACAGGAGGTCATAGGTAGTAATCGGGATAATTCTTTCCTTCATGTAGGATTTCCGCAGACATTCAAGATCCAAATTGATTCCAAATTAGGGTTATGTTGAGGGCATATATTTTTAAAGAAGAGTATATGGTTAAAGAAATGTTAAGGTTCTTATCAATCTTAATCTTGTTTATCTTATGTTTCTATAATCCATCACCCACTCTCTTCTCATTGGTCAAACCATTCTCCTTCAGCAAAATCTCACTGGTGGTGGTTATAGTTGCAGTTATGTTACCACCACCATCAATGTATTACATTTAACTGACGTAATCTTTCACTTGGATCAGAACTAAAACATGACCAAGTATGAGTTAAGTTACAACTTAAGTAGTGCTAAGTCATAAAGCCGCTTGTTTTATCCTGATTTCTGCTTTTTAGTCTTTCACAAATCTATTTTCTAGCTGATAAAAACACATATACAATATGAAACAGTTGTTTAGCTGTGCATTCAACTGAGGGATTTTATCTTCACTTATTTTTTTAATATACTGTGATTATGTATGATTTTAATTCCTTATGTGACTGTTGAAAGTATCCTTGTGAATGAACTGTGCTATACAAATAAACGTGCCTTGCCTTGCCTAATATATGTAGTTATAGTGAGTTGGATATACAGCCTTTTTGACTGCACTTTCTCACTAAAGCATATTAGGGTGCGCTTTGCATGAAATTAAATCAGAGGAGGGCTGTGGAGACAAGTCTTAATAATAGACTAATTCCAGAAAGATCTATTATTTTTAAAGTTGGCCATTTAAAAAAATAAAATAAATCTATAACCCCTAGTATCTATAACCCCCTATCTTTAACCACACATCACCAAACCAGACTGTCATATGTTATGGAATACCAGTGGATGCATCCATACTGTAATCTGACATTGAAATAACTTCCTAAATTTGGCTCCATATCACAGAGCTGCTGTTGCTCCTAAATCTGCCTTGTTTTCGTTCTCCCCATCACCGCTCTCTCTCTCACGGCTAATGAAGGCCTTGTGGCCCAGTGTTATTAAAATTACGCCCTTGCCTCTAATATTAATTGGGTCCGTAATAAGGAAAGCGTCGGATTCATTATTTAATTGCAAGGGCACATTTGGAATACAGTTTCTGAAATGTATTTTTAATGAAAAACACTACATCCTGACCTAATCATATCAACCTTATTCTATCCAATTAAGGATGCAAAAAATCATTAGGGTTGCAAAATATTAGTTTCAGTTCTGTCGGCTGCTCCTGTGTGCGCCTTCATGAATATATTTTTTCCTGTCTGTGATAAATACTTAATGAGCAAAAAATGACACAAATTTGCATGTAGGCAAATTAGTCTCTTAGGTGTAAAGGCTGCTGAGTTTGGAAAGTGACCCCTTTGGAGGAAAAATTGTGCAATAATTATGGAGTGATGGGGTAGCAAATCAGACTTGGGAAAAATCGACAAGTTGAATAATGCACGAATGATAAAATGCAATAACCCTAAATTAGCATCATTCTGGGGACTCATTCTTCTGTTGGCGTTTCATCTGTAATGCAATGCAAAAGTACACACATATGAAGCATTGTGTAATTGCTGCAGCATAGAAGGAGATTGGAGAGAAGTCTGTATGATTTAGCAGTGCCCCCAAAGACAGAGGCCATCAGTGGCTAAATGGAGCGTTTTCTTAATCACTAACTTTGGGGGTGTAATTTCTTCTAAAGTCTCCAAACAGTTGGAGGTTCAATTTCCCCCCATTAACAGGTTCATCACCAGGCCATTAGCATCGATGTAGCACCTCCACCATTAAGGCTTTCTCTTTGTTAAGATTTAAAGACGGATGGTAAACATGTCATTTATGTCACTGCATGTGTGTATAAACGGGTTATCACTAAAATTGCTATGAAGCCAGGATTGATGATTGTACAGCATTCTAGAGTTTAAATCCTAACCTTATTTATGACAATTCGTTAAGTAATAATGATTCATCTTATAAACTAAGCTTAAAGGTGATGTCTACAACCATATAATCCTGTAACTATATACAATGAATACAAAAAAATACAATGAATGTGGCCCCTCCCCTTGGAATATGCCTTAACCAGTAATATTTACTGGAAGAGAATAGTTAGACCAATGGGGAGGGGCCTCAGTTGTCTATCAAGAATTTGAATGAATTGCATCCAAGCAGGAAGCAGTGGGGTTGGCTCTAACTGGTGCTCGCGTTTGAAAAAAGTCTCTTTAAAGGAATAGGCCACTGTTTTTACATACTGACATACTGTATGTTCTTGCCTTACCTTAGACTAGTTGATATGTACCTGTCTGGTCTTTGTCCGTGCGCTCTATCATGCAAACGGAGCACAAACGCAGCCTCTTCCACATACTGTATAGTACCAAATCAGCTCCCGTTAGAAGCTATCAAACTCTTCCACGTTATAGTAACACAGAAATGTAACATGTCGATTTTCTCAGCGGATAAAAAGGGGTACTATATTGTGAGGCGTAATAATATGAGGAGCGCTATGTCCGCGCACTAACTCCAACAAGTCACGCTGCTTCTATTGACGGAAGTGAGAGGGAGTGAAGTCTTTGGGTGTTAGTGCGCGGACATAGCGCTCCTCGTATTATTACGTCTCACAATATAGTACCCCTTTTTATCCGCTGAGAAAATCGACATGTTACATTTTTGTGTTACTATACTTTGTAGAGTAACACGTCACGTAACTGTATTTAAATAGGGAACACGTGGAAGAGTTTGGTAGCTTCTAACGGGAGCTGATTTGGAACTATACAGTATGTGGAAGAGGCTGCGTTTGTGCTCCGTTTGCAAGACAGAGCGCACGGACAAAGATCACACAGGTACATATCAAGTAGTCTAAGGTAAGGTAAGAACATATGTCAGTATGTAAAAACGGTGGCCTATTCCTTTAAAGTGAAGATTTTCTTGAGTTGCATCATGTTGGCTTTTGTCCCATGAACCATATTTACAGAACTTTTGTGGTCCAAATACTAATTGATTAAAGTCAAGGTCAGATTCTTTTCGAGAGACGGTTTTGGAATGCAAATGCCAGAGAGGCCCGCCCCCACAGGTTACTGTTTGGATGCAATAAATTAAAATCCTATATAGACAGCATAGACCCCATACCAGTGGTCCAACTATTCTCCTACAGTAGATATTTCTGGTGAAGCTTATTCAGAGGGAAGCGACCGGTTTACATATGTATTATGAAAAACACTTAGAAACTACAGGGTAAAGTGGTAACAATATGTAATTTCAAATACGATCAAACAATCAGCCAACTAATCGATCACAAAACATTACAGCCCTAGTCAGTCATCAACACAGCCCTGGTTTTCTGTCTATGGTCGTTTTAGCATTAGTTTATACTGTGTACGTTTTTCATCTTCATTTTCATGTGTCATTGCCTTAGAAAAAAGCAAATGTATTCATATGTAAGCTTATATGCAGCGTGGTTGGCTTAAAAGTAACTGTACTGACACTTTCCGCACCACGCCCATGTGATACCCATGAAGGCAAAGATCAGGGAAGTTAATGAAGATGGCGAACACGGAGCGATGTGTGCCAATAACTCATTGTAGCGACTAAATTAAAGGAGCAGCAGTTTGATCGCTGCCCGCATTCCCCTTATCTCAACTAGTCACATTTCCAATCATTATGCAGAGACTTTGTAGGCTGGGTACTAATACACTGGCCTTCACTGTGTCATCGCCATCGACCTACGCTTGCCTATCAAACGTGCAACAGCTTCTCTTAGCGATAGCAATTTCAGAGCGGAATACATTTATGCAAACTGGAATCCTGCACTTTCTGACACCAACTTGTCCGTAATGTGAAATAGTGGCCATGTACGAACGCGTGCTGATTGAGCAGTCTCTTTTTAATACAATATTTCAGAAAAATTGGTTTCAGCAGACTAATTGTGCACCCCACTAGCTAAGTTCGGTTTGGCCAATTATCTTTTACTAATTATATAATAAGTAAAAGTCTATGAGTGAAATCTTCAGAAGTGTAAAATGTAACTAAAGAATATTAATAGTAAAGGTATATTATAATTGAGTCAGTGTGTACATTTCCTCTATCCTCATGCAAATGTAACAATGTCAATCAAATGACTAAGATAAATACTTATCTTACATGACACAGAGCTGTACCAGCAAACAAGAATGATAAAAACGAGATTAAAGTTTTTACCTAATTACCTTTATTTTCCGCTGTTGTATAAATACATCTTTACAGACCTTCTAAGGTGAGGATTCAACTAATCTACTGGTGAATGACCCTGAAAATAATGTAATTTCTCTGTAGAAGGCTGTAGAAACACACACACAGACAATACTGTTGATCTATTTTCAGAAATATTTTGTTGAATGTTGAGTGTTTCTATAGTAAAATATCTATCTACCTATGCTACATGTGAGTGAACCAAACAAAACTCATATCAAGAATTTTACCTTCCGCCTCTCTCCATTATAGCCTCTCCACTGCTCTGCTTTCTTGACGATATAGCTCAGCTCCTGATTGGACACCTCCAGGTCTTGAGGCAGGAAGTAGGTTCCTTCGCTGGCTGTGATCCTCTGATAAACGTCCAGCATGCGGCCGTCATTGTGGAACCTAATGAAAACACATGATGGAGTCAAAAGTCGTGTCAGCAATCGGGTTTCTTTGAGTTGCGATAAAGACTCACAGAGGCTATAGTGTATACAACACAATGATGCACTCCTATGTGGTGTTGAATGATCATGTTCTGCATTGAGAATTGTTTTATTGATTAGACAATGCCTGTTTGCAGTGTAAGACTATGAAAGAATGATAGATGTGTTCCAACAGAACTAAAGAGCAAACGGTATCAAACAAATTGGCCTGTGAGTGGGAAGCACTTCGTTAACACAAGCTAACAGTAGCTGATTCTATGTTGGGCTTGTGTCTGCTAATGTGTGGGAGTAAGAAATGGGATATTCTGCTGTTTTAACGAAGCTTCAAAGATGGCCGCTACAATGGACGCTCCGGCGGTGTCCACGGAGACCAGCCTGAGTCACAGCAGAAGCCTTATCGATTCAGAGATCCAGATGAGCTCTCAAAGTGCGATTTCTCTTTTGCCACAGTGGCGCGCAGACGGCCCACCTCAAAAAGCAGTTCCTCTATGTCTGTAAACAAATACTTTGGCTGACCATCAAAACCAACAGACCTCGTGCCCTTCCACTGAGATTCTCGCCTGTCAGAGGGTAATCAACTCTCAAATAAAACCAACATCAAGGAGACAGAGCTTTGTACAAGGAGCGGGTACAGAGCTTTGAACTCAGCCTCATTCCCCAGTGCTCTTGGGAGAATCGTGTTTGTACAATGTTGACCTCAGACACAGGAATAGCTTGCATTCAGTTTTATCCCTCTTTCTCTCAAATATGATTCTCATTCATTTATGCGTTCTCTCTCCTCTTGAAGGATTCTCCATCTCTGGTTCTGTCTTAAACTACAATATGGACTAATTTTCTTGATCTTAAAGGAGCTGCGGGAGTCGAAACCTATGATTTACATTTGCAGCATGACCTAAACGTGACCAGGACATAAGGATTGTTGCTGCTTCTTGTTTTGTATAATAATAAGTAATTGAATAGAGCATGCATATGAAAGTATCATTGTTATGCATTGTTGTGCACATAAAGCATAACAACTAGATTCACTGGTCTAAAAGGAAGACATTAATTTGGTACCGGGGTTAGTATAATACTATATAGTATAATTTTGTGATGTATGTTTAGATATTTCATTATGTATCTAATAATTCCATTATTTTGCACAATCCTATGAGTTCTTACTAAAGTATGGTGTGTACTTGTACTTGTATCATCAATAATCTAATTTGTAACCAGCATCTGAATAACTTTCTTCAGGCTGTGTTGAATGAGCAATTGGACTGGATTGGATGTTACGTTGGAATAATAAACAATTAGCTATCCAATAATATCAAGTAACTAAAATGAATAGTGAATTACTGAAATGTCTAATTTGGACATGCAGAGGTGCATGTCACATGACTCAAGTATTTTAGAAGCTAGTGAATAAAGGCTGACTAAAGTGTAATTAAAAAAGGATAACAGTCCATTCTATCTATACATATAGCCCGAGGGTTTCTTTAGAAATAGGTCACGCTCTGTGTCAGAGCCCTTCCTTGCAGCCAATAGGAAACTGTAACCCATAAAATTATCAGCCTTGCTTCAGCCTCGTGGCCTACATTCAATACAAACCGTGTGGCGCTTGAGTGGCAGAAGTCATTATTCCCGGCTGCTGTTTTAATATTGTCCATTTAGCCGGAGCCCGATAAGCGTCCCGCTTACTGAAATTAGATGGCACCCTCTCCTCGGCCGCCAATCTCAAACTGATTAATTCAATAAGGCTTTTCTTACATTTGGAGCCGGTAATGGAATTTGGTTCAATATGAGGGAGGACAACACACCTTGGCTGAATACAGAACAACATTATGCATAGTTTATCTCAGCTTTTCCTTTGCCAAAAATGTGTCTTATTATGTAAACATCAGTGCTTATCTTTTTAGAGAGAATTATGGGATTCTGTAGTTGTACATTGAATGTGCATGGTCCATAGTTTCCTTTCATCCTCACCTCTGAGTAAGCTCCCTTATAAAGGACATCAAGGCTTAGCATAAAATAGTGAGATGTCTCCACCACAATACAGACCAACCAACAAAATTCTTCAGCATGGCTGACCTCAATCTGCAAGACATGAGTGGAACACACCACCATGTACATGGTGTCCATTTCAATATGTATGAAACCAGCAGTGATAGCAACCATGCAAAACATTCACCCTAATCGGATAATGCAGGGGGGGTTACATGTTCATGCGGTATCAAAACACATCTAACTTTTGAATTAGAAACGCTTTCCATTTTTCCGACCAATTGCTGACTGCAATGCGTTCAGAAATCCAAGCGCTCTGCAGTGTTTGTGTGCAAGAACGCTTGTGCGAAGACGTGTGAGCCTGATGCATAAGGGCATAAGTAATTCCTTCCGACTATAAAATCAAAATGCATTAAATCAACATTTGTTTTCATTTTTTGTTGTTTTTGCGCTTTTCCCGTGTCCACACGAAAGAAAAGACAGGCGTGAGGCTGTGGGGGTGGAGGTTTATTATAGTTATTTCAGAAAAGGGTGTTAGAAATAGTGTAGGCTGGTGAGGGCCAGTGCTGTTAAGACAGGCTATTACTCTTATTGGCAGACATTCGCTACAGGCTGTGAACATTTAAAGATACCCACATGGTAATTCCAGCTCTTATAGTCAAATGTGCCGGTTGCACATGCATGAGGCAAGTCTACAATTATAAACATAAGCACAATAAATTCATTCAACAGTTAGTCAACACAACAAGAAGCCGTAATGTCCCACCTGAGCAGGTAGAGGAACATGATGGTGAGAGACAGAACACTCAGGACCACATACAGGAACACGGTGAGGACCACTCCTGCCACTCCTGATTGGTCAGTTCGGTAAAAGTGCCAGTATAGCTTAGCAGCATCGCCCACAGGTGTCTCTGGACGATAGACTAGATTCTAAGAAAACAAGAAATATATACCCGCATAAAAACACACACAAAGTAGCATGGTTAGTCGGCGGTTTGAATCCCTGCACTCTCAACATAAACATCATGGATCCACCACCTGTGAACCACCACAGGTTGGCGGCACAGACAGATTAATGCTATTGTTGTGTCTTTGGGAAAGGTGTTGAGAGCATTGAAGGTGAAAAAGTCCAAAATAAAAATACGTTTTGCCTGATTTCTTTAATTGTTTAGAGAGCAGAGTACCGGTTGTTTCATTAATGTGTTCAATGTCAGCATTATTTCACTCACACTCAATCCAATTTGAACCGTCATAACCGGAGCAGACACTCGCCTAACCTTGCACGTTCGTGTTCTCACCCTTTCCCTTCCCTCTTTTTGTAATCTAAAGTCACTTTGCCGAGATAAAGTGAACTCCTATTTAAAGTGCACAAGTGTCCAAGTTATTTTTAAGTGACTTACCCCGAGGAGGGCGTCCACAGCAAAGACCGCCAGGGGGTCCAGGACTGTCCACACTCCCTGTGCCATGATCAGCTTTGACGTGAAGGAGGGGAGTGATCCAAATATGTGTTGACAAGCCCATCTGATCAGAACCAGCAGGAGCGTTACAGCGTTCAAGGTCAGCGGTCCTACCACCACCATGGCCAGCTCCTCCCGGGTGTGAAGCAGCGAGCTCTGGTACACCAGCTCCACGGTGTGAGCGTGGAAAGCAAACCTTCCACAAGAGATATTGATCAATACTGCAACTACATGATGATTTGTAACTCATCTCTTATTGTAGCAATTTAATGAGTAAAACACACACACAACGCAAAATGCATAAAATCTGATAATTGCCCCTCCACCTCCCCTCTTTACTTCCTTTCATTCCTTATCAGTATGCATTTCATGTAAATATTGATTTGCATTGTTTCTGTATAATGCAATTTGTCACCTTTGTTCTTGATGCTTCCAATAAAGATAATTGAAAAAAAAATTAATAATAAAATAATTGTAATCAGTGCTATTATTAGTTTATAGCACTGACAAAGGTATAAACGTGTCCTCAGTGTAACCGTGCATCTCCACATTTGGTCACATTGTTCAGTTTTTATGCTTGAATTCTACAGAACGTAGACATACCTAAGAAAGTGTCCAGTGTTTTGGCATGAGTCTTAGGCCCGTTTACATCAAGCCTCATAAGATCTCTAATCTTCCCGTCAGTCAGGAGGAGGTAAACCAGGAGAGGCCCAGTCTTTGCTCATTAATTTCCATCTGATTTGCTCCAAAAGCCAAGCATCTCCAAGGATCCTGTCCATTAATCTGCCAGTCGAGGTACATTTGTTTTTTGTTTTTTTGAAATGTGAAAAGGCAGCTAATGCCTCAACAAGTTCTCATATGGATCACAATCATCACTTTCCTAATGTGGGAAAATAAAATAATTACCTATATTGATGATGGATTCTCCCAGTAAATAAATGTGATGTTATGTTTAAGGCTTAGAAGGTCATTTTAATAAAACAAATAAAAGTAAAGAAAGCCAGTACTGTTAATCACCTGGCATGTTCTGCCTTTGGCACAAATTCTTGGTTTATTTGAGGTTTTGTATTTAAGTATAGATACAGTATACGCATCCTGTCACCCCAAATGCTATCAGGCAGACCTCTCTGATTTTGAAAAATTCATAATCTTCATTATGGAACGCTAAACTGGAAATTGATTGCAAATTGTTGGTTCGCCCAACAGAAAGAGTCTTAGATAAGTAAATTGTTGTGAGGAAATGATCTTATTAGCAAACATAAGCCCTTTGAGTCACTGGTGGAGTGAGAGCGGCCCTCTCTTTTTCACTTTTCTGACTTAAAAGCTAATATAAAGATGTAACAGAGGTCAAAAATACATGCACCATGCTATTTTTAGAACCAGGAACTAGTTACACAGGTATTATTACATGATTCTAGTTGTTGTGGTTTGAAAGTTAGGAGCCCAGACTGTATTAAACGTGCATATATTTGTTGCCAGTACGATTAATGATATTGAACTAAACCTTGCAAACACATTGTCAGTATTGTAGCCTTTCCAGCTGTCAGAGACACTCTGCTGTGTCCATGGAGAGATGAGCTGGAAGGCAGAGCTGCACTGTTTGGACCATGTGGAAGTTGTCATGAAACGCTGAACCCACTGCTTTCTACAACTTTTTTAATACTTCACTCATGTTATGGATAAGAAACCTTATTATTGGCACTATTATAAATAACCATAAAATAAATCACTTGCATATGCCACTGAAAAAAGTGCACTGCTGCTGTTTATCAATGCCTTACACAGTTCAATACAATATTTCTAAACAGCAGTGTAGCCTTTTGGGATCTCGAATGGTGTTGAAATCTCCTGAAGCATGTTTGGCTAATATTGAGGGAGTGTTGTTAAATTGTTAATGGGGGGATTCCAACAAGAAGATTTGGGTGTGTACATAATCCATTGAGCAAATACAGACTGCACACTCTTATTGTAATCCTATTGTACGCTAAGTCTTTTATTACGATTCATTCTAATACACAGATGTTTTACATATTAAGCCCATATATGCGGCTAATTTGCTTATTTACCCCAGCAATCACTGTCAGCAGAATTCAGAGTAGTTTTTTTTCCCCCCCCTGTGTGGCCATACATACTCCCCTACGTGTGAATGCATGTGTGTGTGCGTGTGTGCAAGGCGATATCAAAGGAAGCAAACTCACTTGTTGACAGGAACTGCTATGGCCTGGAGGTAGAGCCACTGGCTGGAGTAATGCAGGTATAGCCTCACAAACCACATCAAAGCCAGCAGCAGCATAATGAGGCCGGGCTGCCGAACGGAGCCGGGCCAGCTCCTCCGATGTTGCCACGGTGACGGGAAGCCCAGCTCGAACGGCAGCATTCTGAGGGTGAGGCGGGTCCGGTCCGACAGGCAGGAGGCGAGCGAGGCGGTCCGGGTGTGGGGTGACCTACGGAGAGGGTGGCAGTAAACGCTATTATGAAATCGGTGTAAGTCAAGGCGGCAATGTTTGTTGTGATCGCCATCAGAAGCAGAATGGTCACAAAAACAATACATATTAAAGCTGGGGTACCTATAATAATAGCTCTCGTTTGTCCCATGAAACAGTTTGATGCTTTGGGCAGAGAGTGAAATGATTGAGTAAGGGTGGTCTTCTCTTTTTTAACTCTCTAAAAGCTGATCTAATGATGTGACAGAAACTTTGGTTAATCTTTGGTAATTAAAAACATAATTGAACTAACAAGATGTGACAGAGGCCAAATAACATGCATGTGAAAACTAGTGATGGAATCTGTGTTATTCTATATATAGTTTGAAAGTTACATATCCCAGTTATAATTTTAGAATTTTATCCCAGTTTTATTTTATTTCCTAAGACCTATAAAGTTAAACTATCCTACTGCATGTTCTTTATTGAAATACAGTATGTACAGTACCTTAATGTCAGATGTTAACAGATTACAACCAAAGACAAAGAGGAAAGATATCTCTTATCATTGACATTTCTCAATATGCTCCTACATCATCCAAATTGGTTATGAAAATATGTCAACAAGCACTTGACACGTTATATTTATATTTAGTAGTTAGTATATTTTGCAAAAGATGGCGCAAACACACTGAAATTGATGGCGCAAAAGTTTTCATCACACCTGTGTCTTTACGTTTTATCCAGCATTCAAATAGGCCCTTACTACTACATAAACGCACTAAGCCCTATTGTTAGGAAAATCTATTCAAAGTATTCACACATATCCAAATGCAGTCTCTCATACACATGCACGGAAAGCAGCCGCAGCAGCACAGTAAAATGGCCTTCAGCAGTGCTCGGCTCCCCTCTGCACCTCTGCCTCCTCTGAGCCGCCCTTTGTCAGGCCTGCTCAACTATTCCCTTTCATATCCAGGGCACAGATGTAGCAGCAAGATGAGTGCAAGCAGAGAGCGCGAGAAACAGGCATAGGTAAGACTGTACTAAATATATTATAATGGTTTAGAATTACACCAAAGACTTTGTTCTAGTGGACAACGTGTTTGCTGTATTGATTAAGAGTAGAGTAAACAAGCTTTTTTTCAGACAGGGAATGATTAAACCAGTTTTAGGCAATGTTATACGGTTAGCATCATAGTATGACTGGGGGCTCTAGCCTGTGGACGTCCCCGTGTCTCTGCACTGTGTCCCAGAGCGCAGTAGGAATTCACTTTGTAGTGTGTATCCAGGGAGCAGGATGCGGCGCCTCCAGACCTGATCTACAGGAACAAAAAGGATCAATTGTATTGCTTTTCCCGCTCTCCAAATAATGAGGCCAAACTTGCATCAAAACGAACACGGCGTCTTCCTTCCTGTTGGTAACGCTGCAGAATTACAAACACCATCAGAAATATTACAACGAAACTTGCTTATCGTTTCATTTTTTTGCATTACATTACCAATTTATCATACCTCACTCCTACTTTCTTACTTTCTGATTATTCCAAACAGTTAAAAGTGAGCAGTCCCTGTGGTGAATCTACAACGGAATAGTTAGAATCACAAAAATCTGAAAAAAAACTTCCAAACAGTAATTTATCATTTCCGTCAGATCTCTGAAGCTAAGCAGGTATGGACTGGGTTAATAATGTGATGGGAGATCTCTGGGAACACCAGGTGCCACAGTGCGGCTGTAAAGTGCCAAACTGTTGTTGTGTCCTTAGGCAAGACACCCCACCCACAGCCTAGCATGTGTCTTGTGTGTGTTTGTGTGTGTGTGTGTATGTGTGTGGTGTGTGTGCCTGTGAATGATTGGTGGTGGTTGGAGAAGCCAATGGTACAGTTCAGTTGCCTCCAGTCCACCAGGGCAGCTGTGGCTACTTCAGTAACGCTAGAATAATACGGCATAAAAAACCCATGTGTTTTTTCTCATATTTTCATCATATTCATCAGGATACAAATCACCACCGTGCGTGTGTCTAAATCGGAATTGCTGTGCAGACACATGGACACAGGCAAGATGCTGCCCTGTCAAGAGGAATTATCGGCAACAGAAAGCCCAACCTGACGCCCATCTTTCATAATGAAGATATTGATGATGCATGAAAGAGGAGTATTTTTAGAGCACGCTTGTCTGGAAGAATAAAGCGAAATCTGGGAGTGAAATAAATTGTAAACGTATTCTTTACAATAATGATTCCTTCTTTTCTCTATTTTCACAAAATGTTCAATATTTAACCTGGTATTTTCCCCCAATAATCACCACATAAACTGAATTATTGCTAAAAGGCAGTGTTATTCCTTTTGGGACAGTGACAAATATAGAGATACTGTATATAGAGACAGTGCCCCACTAATAAAGACTTGCATACAATAAACGCTAATTTAGTATTTGGGAGCCACTTATTTATTTTATTTACTTACTTTTTGCATTCCATCAAAGCACATTGTGAACTCATCTTCTTTTTCAACCCGTTGCCAAAGTGTTCCAGGGCTAGTAAATCAGATTTTACTAGCATATATCTGTCACACTTGGAACCAAATTGCACGGGTTTTTCTCACGGCTTAATATTACCAGCATCACACCCACATGAGCTGTCCTCTTAAAATAGCACGTATTAGGGCTTTAAACTGTAATAGGGGATGTGGGGCAGTAAAGATACAGTGTGTTACATGTTAAATAGTAGATTTATAGTGAGCCGACTGCAGGGCGGGGGATTGTAAAGGTAGCCCTGTGAATAGCCCCATTGGCTTAAACCTCCTGCTATAAGGCCACTTATCCTCTGCTTTTGAGGATTAACTTATTTTCTGTCACTTTCTTATTTAGGCCACGGGCATTGTTTATAATTGCGGTAAAACCACACATTATGCCCTCTCTAGTAAAAAAGAATGGGTTGCTGTTGGGGAAATGGAGAAGCACAGCAGATCGGGTGTGAAAATAGACTTAAAAGATTGACAGATAGTGTGATTGTTTTCCAGTGGCCCAGATGCACTGTTGTTGTGGCGATATTGAAGTGTGATTATCTAAGGTGTCAGGAGATAGGGCTAAAGATATCGCTCCTTTATTTACATTTATGTCTTAAAGAATAGAGCACATAATTGAAAGTGATTTTATATGACATCATTGTTGCAGATATGAGATGCTTGTCTTTCATTTGTAAAAGAAAATTAAAACTTGGGTTGTGGCACAATATGACTGTGTTTCAAGGATTGTTGAGTATATTAAAATGCCTTGACGTGATCTTGTATTATGGGCATTTGTCTCTCACTCCACACAGAGATGGGAGCATGGTTGCCATAAGAGGTGTGTGCCAGAACTATTGTACATGTTTTAGAGATAAGGGAAACCAGAGCACCCGGAGCAAACTTATGCAGACACAGGGAGAACATACAAACTCCACACCGAAAGGCCTTGTTCCAAACAGGATCCCAGGACCTTCTTGCTAAGAAACTAGAGTTCAATCCACCCAGCCACCGTGCTGCTCGTACCAAATGAATTTGCATCAAAAATATTACCAAATTGAATTCAATATCAGTGTTGTCTTTACCATTATAAAACAAACTTGCTAAAATAAGTGTTGGGATCCAGTTGAGTAGGAGTCATAAACAAGAAGTGCACGTACACCATCACAATCCAATTAAAACGATACAACAATATCTAAATCATTACAATTATTTGCAGCTGACAGCAGAGGAAGGGGGTGCAATCAGAGGCAATATAAATATGCTCCCTAATGAGGAATTGCTGCTTGGATAATAGTTGGCTGCTCATTTTACAACGTAATTTTCACAAAGCATTTAACGCCAGTGGAAAAAGCCGGGTGCGCTCGGTGGTCATTATGATCAGAGCAATAAGTTGTGTAACGAGGATCAATACCATGTTTAGTCAATTAGAATTACATGTAATAATTCACACATGTTATAGGCTTGAGATGAGAATATGTATCCAGGCTGTTGGAAAAGACCATGCTAAATCCAGTAATTGCTGTTGAAAGTGGTGGAAAGCAGCAAATAAGTTAAGGTGCAAGTTAACATTTGTGAAAACAATTATCAGTGTGCAGTGAACTGCAGTTTGTGGAACACATCTAATGCAGCCTATATATACATTCAATAATTATAAAACTAAGTCGTATGAAGTCTATCGATCGTGCATTAGGGCTTTGAAGCAATCATTAGTCAACTAAAGATAAATGTCAAACTTCTTTGTAAAAGGGATCACTCTTTCACCAAACTTATCCAAGGGCCGACAACACAGATTGTAAAACAGTTTGGATATGGGATGTTCTGGGCTTGATCATGATTTGTCCATATTTATCTACACCACAGCTACATTTGTGCTTTGAATGATCTTTTGTGATACAATCCAAAACAATTGTTAAAATATGTATATACAAATAAAGTCAACAACTGGATTCCAATGTTTCTGAGCTTTAGAGCTGTGTGGACCATGACTATACTGGTGAAGCTGAAGTTGGCTTGATAAAACTTTGACACTGCCTCAATGGCTACCTGCTGTATGTCATGTGCAGTCAGCTAAACTAGCTACGCAATAGGGTTGCATTGCATGGCACTGTAGGGTTAGGGTTATTTCTCAGAATTATTAAGACAGAACATTAGCACATGTATTCACCCCTCAGTGGGGATAGATAAATGTATTCAATATCAATTTATGCTTCTCATTTCTGTTGTATGTCCCGTAACTCATTTCTCAGCTCATACAAAGCAACACAACAATTAAGTGCCTAATTACAGTATAAGTCTGTTGGTTTCATAGAGCAAATAGGCAACCATCACAAGACTCCGCCTCCTCTCAGATGAGTGTTTTTGCCTCCCCTGTCCTCCACACCTTGGAGTAGTTTACTTGTGTACATGAGGTAGCTGTTTCACTGCAACATGTGGCATTTTTATAGAGCGTTGGACTTAACACGAAAACCGGATTAAAAAATGGAAATGGCAGGTCCCTTGGTGAGCTATAAAGAGAAGGGTGGAAACATTTCAAAATACGTATGCACCTGGGATCAACAAGAGGGACTTCCCAGGCAAACAAATCTACACAATCACACATATAGACCACAATTCTGAACAATGAAGCACAGGTTATTTTCCTCTATAAACTTTTTCAGGCCATTGTGAAACCATACTGCCAATGATTAATGTAGGACAAATGATAAAATGTTCTCACAAGAGCTATCCATTCATCAATTTGGGTGAGGCGTACGGGAAGAAGCGCGGCACATGGTGGACTACAGGCCTCTGGAGGGTTGCATCAGTATTTAAATGGATTTCACTTCACTGACCTTGCCTTATAACTGCAGGACATTGTCACCAGAGAGATAGAGACACAGGGACTGAAAAGAGGAAAGTGTAAAAAGATGATATTATTAGAAAAAATCAACACAGGCAGAACTGCAGAACAGAAGTGTTACATGGCACAGAATACATACATCATGTACATGTATGTACATATCTGGACCCTATTCAAATGGAGATTCAAATACATAAAACAAAACAGCACAAGATAAAATGTCAAACCGTATGGGGCAAAGAAAGCAATATATAATTTACATTCAGAAATGAAGCATATGCTCCTCCCAAATCCTCTTGTATCATTATTATTGGGAGTCTGTCAGAGAGGTTTTTTTAAAGTGCAGTATTTATTTGCACAGTGCGTAGCACATTAGAGTGTGTTAGTGCTACGCTGCATTAGCCAGAATCTGTCTGTTCACAAAAGGCTCTGACAGTCCAATTTCAAACTATATCACATATTTGTTGATGTTTGCCATCTTTGTGAGATCCCTTCTGTCACTTTGAGAACAAGTGATTACAGATGAAGAGTTCGTACAGTATACAGAGCAGCCAATCACATGCCAAACAATCTCTTAGAAGTGCTGACATCTCTGTGGCCGCTCCTTTCCCCTGGCTCCCACCTCAGTGTGGGAAACACACATATCTGACCCTGACCACCAATGGGACCACAGCCAGCTCTGACTGACACCAGCATCAACTTAGATTAACCAATCAGAGGGCAACATTAGTCTGTCAGGAAGCCGACAGCTGTGATTTCCATAGGAGAAGCTGTATGTTGATGTGAGAGAGTGACCCAGGGCACGTCTGGCCACAGAAGAGCCTCACATGTGCAGTGTAGTGCAGCAGCCAGGGGCTCTCTCTGCATGGTGCGCACACTCACTCCCTGCTCAGCTCAGGAAACAGGCCTAGAAAGCACTAAGAGCCAGGGGTGAGCGCAATGCCATCTCCACCCACCTCCGCTGCCAGCATTACATCAGCACTGACCCTGCCCTGAGCTGCAGAGTGCCGTGGATACTGGAAGTTTCAGGTGCTTTGTGCTCCGTACTGTCAGCCTCAGAGAAACGCTCAACAGATAATATGTGAATATATTTTAAATTCAGCACATTCACATGACACAGAGTTAAGCAGATGGAGAGCACAGACTGACAGACGCAGACACTCTGACGCAGTGCTCTGACAGGCTCGGCTGGGGAACGAGTGGAGAGGAACCATGGTCCCCAACGAGGCGAGCTGATGGGGGAAATTAGGTCAGTGTGTTCCCTCTGACTCCACAACAAGAACAGCATGAGAGCGAGCGTGCACGTGTGAGAGTGCACGTGGCAGAGAGAGAGCACCTACTGAGCCCATTCTGCAGCACTAAAGTGACATACTGTGCAGGTCACTGTTTGTTTGTGTCCATTTGCTCTCACTCGACACACTGGGACGGAATGCACTTTCAAGAGGCTGCACATACATTTCTGATGCAGGGATAAAAAATAAGTTCTACAAGGAGGTAAAGGAGAGAGTGTGGTAACTAATCATTGCATATCCCATAACACAATCATTCTGAGTGGGAACATGAAATAATGAGCAAAGGTTCAGTGACATTTTGTCCCCAAACGCCTGAATTGTCTCTGAGAGCTTTGGGACAGAGGAGGCAAGCAGCAGACACAGTTTCTCCAGAGAACCAAGATCTCAAACACTTTTCTCCTGTCTGTCTCCTTGTGTCTCCCGATCAGGACAAGTCACACATACTTTAATTGTTATGAGATTTAGGGGGTATATTTCAATGTAATTAGACTCTCAATAATTGGGCTAATTAGATCTAATTGCTAGGAGAGAATGACTTTGATTAAAACAGGTTTCTCTCCTGAAAAATATTGTTAGGTGATGAATTTGAATAACAATGCACTGTTCTCTCGTTAAACAGTAGACTAAAGCTCAGAAGACTTGCTTATCTAAAAATAATACAAATAAAACAATACAACATTTACTATTATTATAATATATGTCTCGTGCTTGGAATATGCTATGCTAGATAACTTTACGAAAATATAAGGCATTGAGCATGACATTTTATCTCTAAACTAATGAATGTGGCTGTGTTTTATCCTCATTAATGTACAATAATAAGATATATACAAAACGGTGTAAAAAAAAATAGTTGTTTTAATCCATATTATACAGATGAGCTTATGAATACACTACTTTGGTTGAATAATGTACGTTATGTCATAATGCCCTATCACTAACCCTAACCCTAGTCAGTATTCTCTAAACATTTCCAAGTATTCTCCCCAACTGCGGTACCCACTCCTTTTGAAATTAATTAGAACAAATATTTTAGCTTTGAAAAGTGTGAAGATCTTTATGAAACAAGCATAGGTGTCTACGGGATCTGTCACTTTGAAAAAAAGGAGGTGAAGTGTCATTAATTAAGTTGATTCCATGAGAAAAAGTGATTCATATTGCAGATCAAATGAGTGAGGAGTCGGCTTGGTCTTTTATGCATGTTCAAACAGATACACGCAGCATCACAGGCTCCCTACCGTCAAGTGGAAAAAGGTATTTTGGCTTCATTTCAACAGTAAATTTAGATGACATGTGTCAATACTTGCAAAAGATCCAACAAGTGCTATACAGGTCACTTGGGTTATCATGACTTTTACTGTTTGAGGTAAATATTGAATTCAAACTGTAGGACTGTGAAAAAATAAGCAAACTATGATGGAAGATGAAAAAGAATATGAATGTTTAAGCCAATTACATTATAGAATCTACCATGATGATGTGTTGCAAATTACAATAAAAATTGTTGAAAGCAAACCATTCATGCTCCCATTGATTAAAGGCCCTGCATATGATATTTTTATTTTAAATTACATCTAGATCTTTGATATGTGTCCATAAAAAGGTCAACTTGTTTTGTAGGTGCAATGAAAAAAAAGGTAAAATCACACAAAAACATGTTACATATGTACAGTAGATGAAAGCAGAAAAAAAGTCATTTGTAATATACACAGTTTATAACCTCATAGCTAAATCCCAGCAGATATATTGCATCACAAACATGTGTCATAGGCAGGACAATTCTGGCAACAAAAGCTGGATTGTAATTGTAATGACTTTATAAGACAGCTAAGAGTGCAATATATATACAGTCACTCTAACTTGCTTTTGGAATCCCCTTCTTTCCAAACTCTGATTGATTGTACCTATAGTGTAATTGTTAATCTATTGTCTAACAGTGTGTGTGTTTTTTGTCCTACCTGCCAGGACAATGGAGGCAATTTAACCATTGTACAAATTCCAGCATTTTTATGTTGTAGCCGTTAATATGAACTGTCCTAAATCAAATAAATATAATAAATATGATACTAAAATAAGTCTAAATCAGGTTGAAAATATTGTGGTATGAATATAAATCCCAGACCCTAGTATTAATAGAGTTTGGAATTGTAGAGCTGGTTTTATGTGAATGTGAGGATTGCCCATATATACTTATTTACACATGTTTGTGTTTAGTATTTTTGGCTTTACATTGCAGTCACAAAAAAAATAATGCATGAGGTCTTGCTTGTAACGAGCTGTCGTTCAAAAATCTACACCAGTTCAGTCTCTTGTGGCTCAATAGATGGCAGTAATATTCCTGTCAGTACAGTGCAACTCAACATAAACCGCATGCATACAGGAGACACTTAGCAGCAGCAGCAGATGTGCCAGAAGCCATAAAGAAGTCATCACTTACCGTTTTAAAATACAAGTGAATTTGCCTATCACAGGGGTAGGGAATGCCAAAAAATACAAAACGCGGGGCATGACTTTGAGAAGTCTTTAAAGCTCAATGTTAAAGCCAAGCTGCCTATCTTTTTAATGTCCTGATTAGGTGAGGGCAAATAGACAGCCTTGAGCTTTACGAGATACTGTTTGTAAAGATGAAATCAATACGAGCATCCATTCTCCGGGCACCAGGGAACGAGCTTCACACCCAATACCTAAAACTGGCTCTCATCGTGCACGGCCCAGCCACTGCTTAGAGGTATGAGGGGCACTGCTATGAATATAATTGTGCAAAACCATTTAATTGTGTCCCTTTGTGCCTGCAATTCTTCTGTTTGCTCTCCCTGCAGATAGTCCAAGTGTCGTCATTTGTTGGCAGGATACGCTAGTAATCATTTGAATTCCCCCAGTATACATTCACAAGATGTCGGGGACTAGGCTCTGATCTTGTTTAATGTATGACCCTAAGCTATAAATTACCAACTCCCTGAAATGAGGAAATGTGGGTACTTCTAAATCTCGGGAGACAGAATGTTTTTTTGTGCCTGTGTACCCCCTAGTCTATAGTCCTATGTGGTAATCCCCTCCCCTTAATTTAGCTGAGGTTCATACCAAAACAAATAACTTGGAGTTTTTTTGTTGAAATAAGCTTTTTTTTGCTCGTAGCCTATGAGGATGCGCTGTAACAATACACTGTGAACCTTTGAGCTTTTAACGCAATGGACCAAGGTGTGTTTGTATTACTGTATATTCAAACTTGTTTTCTCATTAAAATCACTCGCTATGAGCAATTTCAGCAACAGAAACAACACGTAAAAAAGTGTCTTTGTCGTCCAGCTACATGCAGAGGGAAACAACAAAACCACACATGCGCCTGTTCAGTGTTTGCTTTGTCTAAAAACATATTATTTCAAAAGTTCTCCGTTAACCACAAAGGAACTGGTAATCATGCTCAGATGCCAGAGGTGGAAAATACTCAGATTTAGAATTGTTAAATATGTTAAAGTAAAAGTTCGATTTTGCGAGTGACATTAACGTACGTTCCATATTTTAGATTAAAAAACATCAAGTATTTGAAAAAAGTTGTATTTGTGTATCTCAATGACACTTCAAAGTGCCCTGTATCTATGAATTGTGTCGTGGCCTATGCATATGCTATTTTATTTTCCTTAATTATGCTTAAAAAGACAGAATTTATGTGAAAAAAAAAAAAAGTTTAACAGTTTGATATTCATGAATAACTAAATAATAAGAGAGAGTTAATGTGAGTTTTCTAGGAGCATGTTCTTGTCAGTCCCGTGTGAGACCCTGTGTGATACCCTGTGTGAGACCCTGTGTGATACCCTGTGTGAGACCCTGTGTGAGACCCTGTGTGAGACCCTGTGTGATACCCTGTGTGATACCCTGTGTGAGACCCTGTGTGATACCCTGTGTGAGACCCTGTGTGAGACCCTGTGTGATACCCTGTGTGAGACCCTGTGTGATACCCTGTGTGAGACCCTGTGTGATACCCTGTGTGAGACCCTGTGTGAGACCCTGTGTGATACCCTGTGTGAGACCCTGTGTGATACCCTGTGTGAGACCCTGTGTGAGACCCTGTGTGAGACCCTGTGTGAGTGAGACCCTGTGTGAGACCCTGTGTGAGACCCTGTGTGAGACCCTGTGTGACCTGCACGTTTCACATGAACTGAAGGCAGCAGCAGGATAATGAGAGACTTACTGTAGAGAGAATGTATACTCCTCCATCTCATCCAGGGAGAGCCTCTTGTGTTTGTGAGCCTGCCGAGGCGCTGTGCTGCTGCTCGTGCTGGGGCTCATGCTATTTGTCTTCTTGATTGGCTTCTTCTGTGAGGAGCAGGAGTCGGGGAGAACACATGCGGATGTCATTTGTAATCAAAGCAGGAAACAGGCCTGTGAATTTATCTTGGGGGATGCACACGGTGACAGTGACAGTATGCCTGGCACTTTGGAGCCTCTCCTATAGCTCAACCTCGCCTCAATTGACACGAGACAAGAATGACAGCGAAATCGCATACAGCACGCCATCATTCAGCCAGAGTTCATCTGGGACGCGTGTGTACAGTGACGCTGCCTCTGTTAAATATGTGAGAGTAGAGAAGCTGGCAATGTTTTCTCCATACAAGTCATTTACTGTCATCGTCATAAACACAGTCAAACGCAGTTAGGAAGTGGGGCTTTAAATATTTCACTAAGGTACTTGGGAGCACATATTATTTGTTAAGCCGCCAGCACGTTAGCGGCTGGCTTTTCCTGGCCTGTCAGCCCTGCCTGTGTCGCCCTTGGGTGGGCTTAGTGCCTTTCTGCTTCAACTTGTGAAATACTCACTGATGTATGTTAATGAGATCTACCATTGGAATAAGCCGCCTGCCTTCTCCGGCTCACTTTACCTTTCCCAATTTCTCTTTTCATGTCTTCCTCCATCGGTCTCCTCT